CTATTGTGTTAGTTTCTGTTGCTAGATGGGTCCTATTGTGTTGCAGATGATGGTCCATTGACAAAGATTGAGTTTCTGCCTCTGGCCCATTGACAAAGGGTGGGGGCAGGAAGATGGGAGCTGCTTCATCTTTAAAACATGCTTCTCCATTTCTCATCCAGGAAACATAATATTCTGCCTTTTTAATATTTCCCAAAATATTTCATTTCTCTAGGAAAGGGGTGGGTGCTAACTTCCTACACTTCTATACACATTTCATTTATACATTTAGTTGGTTTTCTATACATAAATTACCTTATAGTTTACTGGACGTTTTGTTAATTCCTGTATTTTATTTTTAAACTTGTCTGAGTTATTAAAGCTATTATAGTTTTGAGGGTAGCTATAAATAGAGGGACACCGTGGCTCAAGAGGGATGCTGTGGCTTAGTGGCTAAGATGCTGAGCTTGTCGATCAAAAAGTCGGCAGTTCAGCAGTTCAAATCCCTAGTGCTGTGTAACGGGGTGAGCTCCTGTCACTTGTCCCAGCTTCTGCCAACCTAGCAGTTCGAAAGCACATAAAAAATGCAAGTAGAAAAATAGGGACCTTTGGTGGGAAGGTAACAGCGTTCTGTGTGCCTTTGGTGTTTAGTTATGCCAGCACATGACCACAGAGATGTCTTCGGACAGCGCTGGCTCTTCAGCTTTGAAACGGAGATTAACACTGCCCCCTAGAGTCAGGAACAACTAGCACATATGTGTGAGGGGAATCTTTACCTTTATAATTAGTAGGATATCCATTTATCTAGTATTTTAGAAATTACTTTGCATAGGTAACTTTCATGTGTTTCGGAGTTCTTTTAAATAAAACATTTGTGACCACAGGTAATTATTTTTGTTTTTAACATACTTAAAATTCATGCATATTTTTGTGCATCTTTATATAATTTTATTAAAACTTTTAAACAAGGATATTAAAAACTAACACAAACTAATAAAAAGTAAAGAAAAAAAACAAAAAAGCAAAAGGTGCAAGAGGAAAAAAATAAAGATAGAAAAGAAGGAAAAAATACAAAAGACTTTAATTTAATTGATTATTTGGCGCTTGTTGATGCATGGAGATATAAAAGGAGTGATTCAAAAGAATATACTTATTTTTCTAAAAGACAGATATTTTTGAAGACTAGACATGATTTGGATTTCTAAGACTTTGGCTATTCGGGTATATTTATAAAGCAGACATATTAACAAATACCATTTTATTTTTTTTTATATTGATCTCCAAGCAAAAAAATTGCCTATAATTCAATTTTTCTGTAACCCGCATCCATTTTTTTTCTGTTTTGACATATTAGTACTAGCGTTTGTTTTATTTGGTCAATTTTTGATTAAGGTATTTGTTCATCTCACAAACAGAATTAAAACTGATATGATGTCATAGTGTAATGGTTAAAATTATATTCACATATTTGCTGTTTTCTTGGACTTGTGATTTCAGACTTTTTTGCCTATCATTTTGCCTTTCACCAACTCACCTCTCTCTCCCTCTCTTTCCCCCCTCCCTTTCTCTCTCTCTTTTCTTTCTCTGAAAGTTAATTACAATTCAAGAGTTGCTACGATCAGGATAGAGCTACTCATTTCCAGCTTTCAAATCTTTTTCTTCTGTGGCTGCACATTTTTGGAACTGAAATGTAAAATATGTGCTTGAGGAAGACTCTTCTTGAAATACTTGATAATGATGTGAATGTCCCACAAAGTACAAATAGTCCAAAATAATAATTCAATCAAATGTCATTAAAATGTTTTACCCCATGTATTTAAATTGGTGGCAACGTTTGGAGGCTGCCCCAGGGTTTTTAAGAGCACTAGTGGCCTTGGGCATCAGGTTATACATTCCTAAGGGTAAGTAATATGAGTTTTACCATAGCCCAGCATTTCTCAAATTTTCTACAATCAGCAACTACTAATTAAATTGTCAGAAAATGCAGGGATTCCCTAATTAACTAACCACTTCTTTCTATGCTCTTGTGTTTAAATATGTGAAAATTCACTTTTTTGATAAATAAGGTGATTATAAATGTATTCATGTATGCCTTTCCTTTGCCTTCATTTTTAAAGACCTCTTAAAATTAAAATGTGTATTTTAAAATTTAATCCAAATGTTTTTCTTTGCCATTAGATTTATTCTATGCATCTTTCCTCATATAATATATGGGGAAAAGCTTAATGCTAATATTCATGTTGATGCTTATATAATCAGCTGTATGCTCCAATGCATTTTCAACCCACTGACCCATTTGCACAATCCGGCAACATTAACTTCTAACTCTAGTCTGCCCAGTTGACTGGGATCAGAGAACTGACAGCGTTAAGACTTGGTGTTGCAAGTTTTTGATGCATCTAGCAGTGCTAAGAGTGGATAGGGCAACTTTATTAGGGATGTTGATGAGTAAAGAGGTAAAAAAACTTCTTCCTTTTCCCCACACCTGCACAAAGGTATATGGATCTGGGAAATAGTAACCAGAGATTGAGAGGTATATACATGCCCGCAGCAATCTTAGGAAGCCAACAAAAGCAGGGCAGGTTCTCATTCCTAATTTTACCTCAAGGCATTACATACAAATTTTCCAAATAGCTAGGTTTCTATTGGCTAAAGGCAGGAAACATCACCTTAAAACTGGAACAGGAAAAGATGAGGTTGCTTTCATGGTGGGTTAGGGTTAACAAATTCATCCATTTATGTCTTCCTGAAACACAAGCTATTTCTCTGCCCAATTAGATGGTCGTGTAAAAATGTCTGAAATGGGATCAAATCAGTTTAGTAGCTGAATGAAACAACTCTTGGGAATACCAGGACTGTAAGGTTGACTGGCAAACCATTTCTACATTTTTGCCAAGAAAACTCTATGATTGTATACACCAGGGGTGGGTTCTACTTATGTTTACTACCAGTTTGCAACGGGACCATGCATGCACCCTCACTTTGCTCGCATGCTCTTCTGCGCATGCGCAGAAGCATTCTGATGACATTGGGGTCAGTGGGCGGAGCCTCCCACCGGTTTTACTACCGGTTCTATAGAACCGGTGCGAACCGGGGGTAACCCACCACTGGCATTCACGAATTACCAGAAGTGAACCTGAATCAAAGGCTTCAATTTTATTATAAATTTGATAAATAGCATTCAGCTGCAAAAAAATGGGAACGAGACGTTTCTTATCTTATTTTTATGCCTTCTTCTAATTCTACATACTGTATCTGAACTAAACAAAAACTATATTTGTTATTCTCTTACTTATGTAGATGTTATGAAAACAAAGTAAATGCAGTAGCAAAAAAATATTACGGTATTGCTGCAATACCATCATATATTTTATAGCTTTATTTATAGCTTAGTTATAGACTAAAATTGTTTTGCATGTAGGTCTGCAGTGAGATCTTTGAATCTCTAATAAAACAAACCTCAGATTGCAAGTACTAATGTTAAAACAATATTGACCAGAGAATTTCAATGATTAAATAATTTAACCTACTACAAGGCAATTTAAATATCCCTTAGTAGCATCTGGGTGATACTTGTTTTTCCATGATGCGGTGAATTGATCAGTTTTCTAATTGCCATTATTTTATACCAGAAGTAAAATGCCTCTCAACCTTGTATGTATTTTATATTTTCAAAGCCACTGTGTCTATTTCAGATGTCCCAGTTACAGGCAGAAAATTAATCAGTATAAAGTGATTCTTCCTGACTATGCACTCTTACTTTAAGCTAAATTAGGTGTTAAGGGAAGGAAATATTCTTTTAAGTTTCTTCACCACTGACTTGTAAAGCTGCCTGATTTTGAAATTAAGACTTATTTGATCACTGACATATTTAAAGAAACATCATCACTCACAAACTATCTATATGAAAACATATTCATGTGTACTGGACATTTTAAAAACTTGGATGAAATTACCTTGCTGTTAGGAAAAAAAAAATAACGAATTAGAACTTTTCAGTTATGCGGCTTGGACTTGTTTTATTTTTGCCACATTTGCGACTTAAATCGACAGGACTGTTCAGTAGGCTGATAGTTGCATAACATTGCATGTATTCCTCATTATACACCAAGATGTGGAAATTATCAAGACATTAAACATTTGGGGCATGAGGAGTGGAGGCTGGCCAAAATATTCAAGAATAATCTACGCCTGATTTGTAGCAGTGGATTCCTGTGATATGTTATTGCCTTTTGCATAAAGATTTGTTTCTGCTGATTTGACACGAAGGCATCGGAAAAAATCCTGCCTGAATCCCCGGAGAATTTGCTGCTGGACAATGAAAACTCTATTGGTCGAGATGGCCTGATTGAGAACACGGAGGGGAAAGAAAGCAGCGCTCCCCGAATACCTGAAGAAGAATCACACAGATCGAGTACAAGTTCTTTATCTCCCAGAGAGCTGGACACGGAATAGTTGATTTTTTTATTATTATTATCAATATTTATAAGAAGTCGGACTCCGATTGGATACCAAGACAAACTTCCTAATGCGGATCTTGACAGTGGAGCCAGTTACCTCTTAGGCAGCTGGCGGGTTTATCACTGCAGGACAGCGGGCTTTCTTTTAAGCTGCATTTAAGCTGCATTTCGCAGGGACTGGCCAAAATGGCCCCTTTGGGTTCTAAGATTCTGGCTGAGATGACAGCAAGCCGCCCATCCTCTCCAGGCGTCCCGGGAGGTGGGGAGGAGATGGGAAGGCGAGGGGACAATTCCGCGCTCTACCAAGAGGAGAGGACGGGACGCGGCTGTGCATCGCTCCGAATAGGCGGAGTCGCAGATGCGGCGAGGGCCCGGGAAAGGCGGTGGGGACAGACATCCGCAAACCAAACCCCCCACCACCCCAGCCCACAAAGAGCCGGCCTGTTCCATCCAATCTCTGTCTTATGTTCCTCCTCGATTGGCCCCTGTCGGCTAGGTGAGAGCCAGGATTGGTTGGCGTTGCCCAGGCCGCGGGCGGGATTGGCTCGGGTAGCTTTCAATCCCCAGACCGTCTGTGTGTGTATGTGCGTGCGTGTGTGTGTATGTTGCGACTGCCGCTGGTGGTGCCCTCTCGGCCTTTGGCTTGGGAAGCGGGTAAGTGGCTGCGTCCGGTGTTTGGGGGCCGCCGAAGGCTGGAGGACGGACGGGCCGGAGATGCTTGTGTCCATGGGGAGGGTGGGAAGAAGGCGGGGGCGCGGGTTGGTCCTCCGCCACCTACCTGTCTCGGCGTTGCGGCCTGTGTTGGAGGAGGGAAAGCAGGCCGCGCCTTCCAGGCCGGCTTTCCCCTTTGCCTGATCTTGGTCGCCGCAGCCCGAGAGCGGGTTCGGATTGGCCTGGCGCCCTGCGTTATTCTGAGGCTGATCCTCAGGATCGCTTGAGCTGAGGGGAGGAAGCGGCCGACGGCGCCGGGAGGGCGCGGTGACAGGGTCGCGCGATACTGGCATCCTATTCTGGCAGGCAGGGGAGATGGAGGGGGTGGGAGGGAGGCTTGAGGACCTGAAGAGCTGGATCCTGGCCTCGCTTCTGAAAAGAGCCTTTATTCGGGTCAACGGGGAGAATGTGGTGGGCTGAGGTTTTCACTTGACAGCTTTGCCAGGCTTGGACTGTTTCCAGGCTGCTGGGTTGGGGAGATCGGAGACGTCTTCTCAATTGGTCAGCTTAGGTCAGAATCAACTCAGTGGGTTCTCTTCCGCATTGAAAGTGTTTGCTTATAGTACACCAGAAACTAGATAGGCGGGGGAGGGGGATTGTTTTAAGCGGCCTGGAGGGGCATAAATCTGTTTTTTCTCTTTTATCTGACTCTTTAATTGGGACAGACATGTGTACAGTATCTTTACTGTGGGTTTTTTTTTTTTTTCATATCAGAATGTTTTCTCTAATTTGATACCAGATCATTCGTATCAAGAGATGGCTAAAACTTTTGGGTAAATGGAAAAAAGACTGGCCCCATCACATCTGTTTTGTGCATATTAACTCCTGCTAATCAAACAGTTCTGAATCATTCCCCCCCCCCACGCCTTTTACATCTTGTGCCTGTATATTGTTATTGTTAGTTGCGAAGTCATGTCCGACCTATCGCGACTCCATGGACAACATTCCTCCAGGCCTTCCTGTCCTCTACCATTCTCTGGAGTCCATTTAAGCTCATGCCTACTGCTTCAGTGACTTCATCCAGCCACCTCGTTCTCTGTCATCCCTTTCTTCTTTTGCCCTCAATCTTTCCCATCATTAGGCTCTTCTCCAGTGAGTCCTTCCTGTTGCCTGTATGTAGGATAGATATTTCTTATGCACTTTGGCTTGCATCATGTATGCATTCATAAAGCTTTACACATTTGAGCAGAATGTACACGGAATGATTCTATTTTCCTAGTCCATATTTGTTCCCTGTATATCATTTTACCTCTTGACCAAAACTAGCCATTAACTAGTATTTCATATTCTAAGTCTTTTATTCTAAGTCTTGCTAAACATTTTATTTTCACTCTTACCAACAAGCTGTGAGATCTAATATATTGTCAGAAAAGGTTATGTTCTTTTATAAAAATGTTTCTATGTGGCAAGCAAGTGATGACTTATGTCATCCATGAACCAGAATTGAAGATGTTTAAAGCTAGGCGCTATCTCAGAAAAGTGCAAGTGACATTTTTTTTTCCTTAGCTGAAAATAAGAAAAAGTACTGAACTTAAACATATGGGTAAAGGTTTAGTGTATTGGTTAAAATAAAAATGAGAAAGCTTATTTGTATTTATACATTCATTTGATTTTGATTAATTGCAATACCTTCTAAAAGTTGTACACTTTTAATAAATGGAAAGTGGGTTCTTCATAATTTTTAAAATGTCTTAATTGAAGATGCATTTTTATATGTTGATTTATAATGTCCAGAGTTTATCCCTGCATTTAATACACTCAGGAGAGCGAGGGCTCAATGGTTATAGACTGAGCTTATCAGCTGGAAAGCTGACAGTCCAGGTTTGAGACCCGAGCACTGCATGATGGGGTGAGCTCCCATCCTTGCCCCAGCTCCTGCCCATCTAGCAGTTTGAAAACACGCAAATGCGAATAGATAAATAGGTACCACCACTTAGGTGGGAAGATAACAGCATTCAGTGCACCTCCGTGTATAATCATGCTGGACAAATGATCACAGAAATGTCTTTGGACAATCCTAGGTTCCTCAGCTAAAAAATGGAGATGAGCACCACCCCTTATAGCGAGCACTTCTCCCTAGAGTTGGACACGACTGGATAGGGGAAACCTTTACATTTACCTTTTTAATGCACTCACATTAAATGTTTTAATAGTAAAAAGTGCTATATGATGGCCAGTTAATATGTAGTAGGTTTTATTGAAGTCAATTATTGTTACATTCTAAGATCTATGTTCAGAGTGTTAAACCTATTCTTCTTTTGCCAAAGTTAAAATGAAGGTAAGGTCTCCCAATTCTGATATGTCCACATGTGGGTAAAAGTACATGAAGCTGTTTTGTGCTTGCACAGGTTTAGTAAATAATATATCCTCTTTTGCTTGGTAATTATTGGAAAACAGTACCCGCTGATCCAAGTCATGACTGGCTTGATATTTATAATATACAGAAAATATGCAAAATAAATAAATAATTATATAATTGTTGTATCAGGAATAATTTCATATATTGTATAAAATCCGTATTGAAACACAGATATGTAAATGATTATGCTGAGGCTGTAAAACTGAGTGGTTAGAGAAAGAAGAACTCATGAGAAATTTTAATGTGAGAGGATGGAGGAAGGCAATAGGTCTGTATTGGACCTAATAGCATGTAATCTGAATCAATGAAATATTACAAAATGAATTAATGCATAATAAGTAATGAATATCAGGATAAAATGTTAGGCACTTCTTATGTGGTGATTTAAAGTTAAGATGCATTTGTGTGTTGTGTACAATATTTTTTATAGAAATAAAAATGAAATTGCCTGGAGGCAGAGCAATGTAATAGAAATAGTTATCTCAAAATGGCTGATGCTGTAGTTATAAGAGCATTTCACTTTTCAGCTGGCAACAATGAAATATTGTATACCGTAATTCAGTATCAATGTTCCAATAGTTTTAAGCGGTGTAAAATAAGGTATAAGAGTTTCTTACAATTGATTACTAATATAAGAAAAATATTATCTTAAAAGAGAACAGATGAACAGATTCACAAATTTGTTAAGAGATTTTCTTTACAGAAATGCCTCAGAAAGAAAACTTACTTTTAAAGTAAAGTTCTAAAAGATTTACAGAGAAAAAAGTAGAAAAAAAGAGTTAGTCATTTATACGAGCTTGAAAGTATGATTTTTCAACTCTTTCAGGCTGCAGAACCTGTTAATTACATTTTTGGAACCCCTGATTCAAAAGCAAAGTCCTAATGATAGAAAATTAGCTATAAAAAGAAAAATAAATGGTGGTTATAAATTTTATTTGTTTATTGAAAGGATTTATTTTAAAAGTGTACCTTTTTAAGCGAATTTCATGATGTCGTTTAGCGAGGATGTCACAAAGTCACCATTTGCAATTTCCTGTCAATTTCACAATTGACTTTGTAGGAAACCAGTAAAGGTTGGAGCTATGTAATTACAGGGATGTTGCAACAGCCAGAACTTTTGAGGAGCAGACATAAATACCGCTTATTCAATACTGTCACAATTTCAAATATACCTGAACAAGTAGTCATTAAGCAAGGACCGGATGTATTGTAAAGCAGGGTGAAAGACTACCTTTATCAGTAATGGGACAAAATGAATGAAAGCAAACCTGGTAAGATAGAGTTGAAGTAGCTTAGCTTCCATAGAATGGGCAAGGAAGGATCTTCCCTCAAAAACTTCATATTATGATCAGTGGAGGTAATTCACAATACTTTTGAGATGATATAAATATGAGAATGGGTTGGCCTAATGTTCCAAGTTTGAGGGTTTTTTTTTAAACCACCAATAGAATAGTCCTATCAGTACAGTGAGAATATGGTGAAAGACTACCAAATATAGTAAGAGGGAATAACATTGATATTGGTGTGCATTTATTTACTTAGCTTTCAGTCCTCCATATCTCAGCTGTGTTTTTCTCTTAAATAGTACAAGGGAAAACTGTTTAAAGGTTTTAAAGATACTGAAGGAATAGAATTGCATTGGCTCCTGAATTGGCAGGAAAGTGCCACAAGGAGGAAGTAATATTTAGCACCACCTGGCAGGCTAGAAGAATAGCTCAGATATGGTGTTAATAAGTCTGACATTAGAATTACTTTAATTAAAAAAAACACTGCTGTGGTTTTTCCTGAAGTTTATGCAGAATGGGAAATTGCAGTAAATAAGTACTCTATGATTCCTGGAATGTTCTTGTCATGCAGTCCGTGTACATTTTTTCATAACAAAACGCTTCAATTTATCTATTTTGATCTATTGAAAATATTTGCAACTATATTGAAAGTATTTGAAACTATAACTACCATATTTTTCGGAGTATAAGATGCACTTTTTTCCCTCCTAAAAGAGGCTGAAAATTTGGGTGCATCTTATACATTTTATACTGTGAATGTAACCCCGCCCACCTGCTGGCCCCCACCCTTTGGCCTCTGTGTGTCCTCTTCCTGGCTGCAGAGGTTGCCACTGATAATGGCTTGTGTTTTTGGGCTCTGCGTATCATGTTTTCAGACTCCAAATGCTCCGTTTGAGAGCCCCTCAAGACTGCGGGGATCGCCAAAGCACATCACCGCCTGAAAATACGATACGTTTGGAGGCTGAAAACGCGATGCATGGTGCCCAAAATGGCTACCTGGAACAGCTGCTGCCTTCTCTTACCCCTTCCGCGCTTTGCCTGCTTTAGTCACTGGAGCTCCCTCTGATGATCAGCAGTGCTTTTGAAGCTGTTTTTCAGCCCCAACACGCTGCTTGCGAGTGAAGTGATCTTCCGCACTTTGCCTGCTTTTCTAATTGCTGCTCCCTCCAACGATCAGCTGTGCTTTAGAAGCTGTTTTTTAGCCCCAACAAGCCCCAACCTCAAAACCAGCGAACAAATTAATGTGCTGAAGCTGACCAGGCTAAGGACGCGAGCCAGATGAATACCTGGTAGGCAGAATTCCCCCCCCCCATTTTCCTCCCCAAAAACTAAGGTGCGTCTTATACTCCAAAACATACGGTATGCACATTATTTGTTTATATAGTTTTAATTAACAAAGGTATATCACATATTAAGAGATACTAACTCAATTTAAGGCATTAAATTTTTTTGTTGTAGAAAACATGCACTTATATATAATATACTATCGATGATATACATTGTCTACCCATCCTTTGAATATACAAGAACACCTATGGTTCAACAGAATTTATTTTAGCTGGCTGAACTGTACTAAGAATCTAGCTGGAGAACTTCCATTAAAGTCAGAAAGACATGGAACCTTGAATGGAGTTGGTTCTTCAGAAAGAGAGAATTAGAAATTTTAAGAACAAAAGACAATGTATAAAACAGTACATGGATATGGTGGAAACTAGAATGCTTTGCAAGGATAGAGAAGCATGGGGAGGTATATTGAAAAGTGTTGGTACAAAATAACAAATCTGTATTACTTTTTTAAAAATCATTTTTTGCCTTTAATTTTCTTTGTCCATTATATCTCTCCACTTCTCTGTACTTTGCATAATATTGTTTATCCTGAAAGGGAATGGTGTGGTGGGTTATTTCCTCAGTAAGAGTTACAAGAGACAATCAAATTTCCTAGGAGAAATAATACAGGCAAAACATACTTGTTGCATGATATTAGAACATGTCCTTTTGCCTTCATTAAAATAAAAAACTAACAGGAGACAGATCTTATAACTTTATAGCCACAAGAGTTGTTCTTTATTGCTTTTTTTTAGTTGTAGTGGGAAGAATCGTTTATTAGATGTTGGGCTAGGATCATTTTTCTCATCTCTTTTAAGGCTGATTGTATTCTACTATCAAAAGGTAACTACATCAATGTAGTATAGATATATTGCTACAAGAAGGTGTCTCAAGTAATGAATATAGGAGCATTTGCAAATGATGATTCTAATGCATGTTGTCCATAATAGAAACTTTATATGTATTCCAAATCTTATCACCTGGATCAAGCAGATTCATCAGATTCCTATTAATTCCCAGATAAGGCAAACAAAAATGGTTCATTACTACCAGGCTTTCAGTGTGATTAAGTCAGTATTTAAGGTCCTGAGGATTAGAAAAATATGTATGTACTAAGAATGTAAGTACTGGGTATTATCAAAATAGGATATTGTCAAAGTTAATAGTATGCTATACTATTGATCAATGGCCGACTAAGGTGAACAGTCTTTGCAGATACAAGATTTCTAGGATGTAATGATTAGATTAGACAGTAATCTTGAAATACCCTGTAGGTATATTGTAACTTGAGTTATCAGACAATTGATATGCTGGGAATTCTATGGTTGTATTCACAGTATATCTGTAAATCAGCTGGTTAGGAAATGCTGAATTAGAACACAATCCTCTCTCCTGGTGCATTCATTGTGAGAACTGCATGTAGTTTGAGGGTGAAATTTCAAGCTTTCCCAGCTATCTTTTTAAAAATTAAAATCCAACATTTTTCAACTAATGCAAAATGCATATTTACAATTAATTTGCTTCTGCATTCTGACCAGAGAGATCAGAGCCAGAATATTCTCAATTTTTTTAAAAAATAAGGGTTCATCCTGTTAATCTGAAATGGTATACATTTCACCATAATTTCAGTAAATAAAAGTATTTTGTTTTTGCTACTGTTAAATAACCATTTTCGGGTGATGGAAAACTTACCAGATGCCATTGTATCCCTGGTTTATAAAAGTCACATGAAAGTGGATTGCAGAGGGAAATTAGTGTAATCTGGAGCAATTTTTTCATCCTCCAATAAAGCACTAACTAATCAGCTGGAAACAAATAGTCTGCTTGCTGACTGTTGTTCATTTATTCTAAGGTGTGCTTTTAGTAGCTCAAAGGCCATAAACTAGCAAATCCTAGGGAACTAAACTCTAAGAAATTATATGCAAAAAAATCTATCATATTTTTGGCAAAAAAGCAATTCCTTATTTTTCAAGCATAGATCTCATCACTGAATTATAGTATTAGAGTTATAGTACTATTCCTTCCCTTCCCCCAATTTTCAGTCAGCAGAAGGCCATACTGGAATAAATTTTTCTAGTCTCATTCCCTACTATTCCCATTCTCTATCTTGCCTTTCTTGGCTCTGTTTCAAGTCATTGCAGCCTCTAAGGCGATGAGTAACAAAACATTATAGATTTTACACATCACAAAGATGTCTCTGGATGGTACCACCTTAAGAGGGAAAACAAAATACATTTAAGGAAGGTTTTACTATAAGACTGTTTTATTCATGGACTGGAGATAAGATGAAGGCAAGGACATGGGAACATACAGAAAAAAAAAATCTCTGCCATCTGCTTTACAGGAAGGGAGGAGCCCACAGAAAATCTGGACTAACCAGAATGTTTTTCATATAGTATCTATACATTTTCTAAACCGAAGCTCTCTTTAATTATATGTGTTATGCAGGGGTGAAATCTACTTACTTTCCCTACCGGTTCGGAAATGTGCGCTCTGTGTGTGTGTTTCACATGCGATTGTGGAAGTAACAACATCCGGGTGAGTGGCGGAGCTTCGCACTGCCACCGCTACCGGTTCACTGAACCACGCGCTACCGCCACTACTGGTTCGCCCGAACTGGTGCGAACGGGTAGCATTTCACCCCTGGTGTTATGGCACCAAGATAGGCTGTTGCTTTAAAAGATAGAAATGCCCTCTTTATTTATGCTAATCCAAGACAGCATGTTAACTGTAGTTTGTAGTTTGCTGATTATTTATTGCCCAACTGTTTTAAATAATCCTGAGCCTAATCTTCAAAACTAGCATATTTGAGTGCCTCAGTATGAAACTCCATGTCTGCTTGACTAGGAATATGTGATTGTTCCACTGTACGGACTGGAAAGGGTAGATTTCAAATATTAAACTATATAGTATTTTGGTCCTCTTACAATTCTCAGTATAAGAAGTAACAAGAAATAACAATATTTTTTTACTTGACTAAAGTGTGATTAGTCTTATTTTACTAATTTTAAAAATACAAATTATGCTTAATATGAATACCTAGATAGCTTGAAGTAATAGCTAATGGCAAATTTCATGTGATCTGAAACATGATTTAAGGTGCTTGACTAAAGTGTAATTAATCTTATTTTATTACTTTTAAAACTACAAATTATATTTAATATGAATATCTAGATAGCTTGAAGGTTAATATTAATACTTAATATTAATATTTAATATTTCTGGGCAGTATTCCTTTGATTGTTTATATTGAGCTTATTCCATTGTCATCACAATAAAGTTGATTTACTATTATTTATTTATTAAGTAATTTTATATGATCGCGCATATAAGTAACAGAATTTAATTCATCATTTACCTTTATAGAACAGCCTACTTTGTTGAATATTCAGTTTACAACCCAAGTCATTGCATTCTTTAGGAATGGATGTTATTAATCTATGGGCAATAAGTCCATACATTTTTAAAACCAAACAAATTGAATTTCATATGGATGGTTCTATAATCATTGGAAATGTTCTGATGACATACTTACCATTCTGGCTTCCATATGGTCAGTATCTTTTTTAGATTTCTGTAGAAGAAATAACCTTATAAAAAGCAATGGACAACTTAATTGCAATGTACCATTTCTTTTAGGCACTTTTTTTTAAAAGTACTTTTAAACTTTGTTTAAAAGGTGCTAATTAAAATAATGTGATTGGCATCATACAGGTTTCATGGACAAATAAAATGATAGATCAGATGGACAGACAGATGGCAGAAAGAGACATACTGGGAAAATATGGCTCAGACTGAAGTACTTTCTTACAGGACCCTTCTGAATTGTAGGTATTCTGAAATAATCAGACTTTGATGAAAATATACATGGAACTCAGGAACAACTTTCTACATATAAAGGACAGTTCAGATGTTGCAGAGAAAACTATTAAAAACACATCATGAGTTTACATAGATTTTGTTTTGAGAGGACTCTTTCTTCCTCTGTTCTTTGGCTATCTTTGGTTAATGTTAAATCAAAGTTCAGAAAACCTCTTTAGCGGCAGTGTATGGACAATCTTATTCAGAGATGCAACGGATTGGGAGTAATCATAGAACCCCAGATTTGGCATTGTGATGTGAATCAAGATGTAAAAAAGATAATGACTGCAAATTAAATATGAGCATGAAACGTGCCTTGATAAACATTGGGCATTTGAACTGTTCAATTTATCTAAACCTAAAAAATTAGTTTATACATCATAAATTGTTAAATTATTGGACAGGTGGGATCTAGATGTTGTTACTCAAAGTATATTTTTGTTTCAGTTGTAATTCCACATCCCACTACTATAATTGTAATGTAAAGTGGAGTATGTGGACAGAAATCAAAGCGTATTAAGCAAATGTTGGCAAGGTTTTATGTTATGTTTATGTTATGTTGGCAATGTTTTATAGCACTTCAGCTGAAATCAGTAAGATTTACTTTTGATAGAAATATATATAATGGCATTATAGGTGTATACTAAGGAAACAGACATGTATACATATGTATATTTGGTTGAATATAAATCCAATGTATAATATATTGAATTAAGGTTTGAAGAAATCATATTACTAGCATTAACATGATATAGATTAAATATAATAGATTAAAACTGTATAGTCAAAGAGAATATGCTTATTAAATTTTTTCATTCAACTAGCAAGATTATATTTAGACTTCATCTTAATATGTAGCTGGATACATTTGCTAGTTGCGACTCTTTTATTTTCCTTTTAAACGAACGTAGTTTCAATTCCTGCAAAGAAGATACAAATACTCCTATTGAAATCTTCAATGTCCTGCCCAAAATTCCATATCATAGGGTTCATTCTCATTTCAACAATAAAAGGTGAAAGAATTAGAAAAATTATGAATTACATTTTCATTCAGATGTGATAGACCAGGGGTGTCAAACTTGCGGCCGCGCGGGCCAGATGAGTCACATACTGGCCCCGCCCCCGCCTGGTTTAGTGAAGGGGGAAAAAGTTCTGATACGTCACGTGATGCTGCCATGACAATGTGAGTTTGACACCCCTGTGATAGACCATCCAATCCAATTTGGAGTAGGTATAACTTCACACAAACAATGTGAATTTGGAAGAACGATAACTTGCAGAAGGAACTAAATACTGAAGTAAATATTTTTATTTGTGTTGATCCTCCTGTGTTTTACGTGTGTTTCATTACACACATAGTTTTTCCCCCAAAAAATTCTTAATTTTAGAATTATTTATCTCTATTATTTAAGTGTTGGAAGAAGAGTTAACTTCTTCCATTTCTGATGTCAGATATCAGTTAAGTTCTGAAGCTTTATAGTGATTAAAGGCAACTAGCCTCATCCTCCGTATCTCAAGAGTTTTGATGCATCTGCTAAAGACTGGAATACAATTTGAGTTTTAAATTATAATTTATATAATGCTACTCAAATGTTTTAAAGTGAAATTGACCTATACATTTAATTTTTCAAGACAAACATACTCATATTTCATCTTTTCAACCCTAATTTTTTTAGTGGACTTGCTGGATTTTGTGGATGGTTTTATACATTCTATTACAAATGTTTACCATCAGAATGCCTATAGTATGCAAAAATATTTTTATGTTGGGAATGGTGACATGCAAAATACCAGTTTAAAGAAGACATTATAATGAAGCTAAAAGATAAGTAACTGGCATGGTGATTATGGTAATAAATTAGGACTAGGGAAGAGCAGATTCATACCTAGTTATAGTTTCAATGATGTCTTGAAAAATATTATCTCCCAACCCAACATATCTTACATGATTATTTTTTTTTAAAAAAACCCAGTGGAAATACTATATAGGTTATCCTTGGGATCCTGAAGGAAAAATGGTCTATAAATCTACAAATATAAAAAAAGACAGTTATTGACCTTCAGAATACAAAACAGTTTTTAACTTTATTTATTTATTTAGTCAGGTTCTTTCCCATTATTCCAAATATAGTTATGGAACATTTTGAGAAATTAAGTGATTTTTCCTCCCAAAAGATAGTTGAACATTTTGAAGAACATGAGCAAAATCTTTCATTAAATATTCTGTATAAGATTTGTATGATAAGATTTTATTTAATATACACTATGAAAATGTTTAAGTCACTGTATAGTATCACAAAATGGTAAGTCTTTAACAAAATGGGCAATACCAAAACTCAGTTTTATAACAATATTGAAAATCTTCCTATGATACTGCAAATGAATTCTAAACCATTCGCTAATTGAGACAGATATAAACTACATAAATAAACTAAGTTTATGCTTAGTATCTGCCTGGTATGGATTTATAAAATAATTCACTTATCTAGTTCAGTTTGGAACTTTTGTATACCTACTCCCTTGCTATGTCCCCAACTTTCAGGTCTCTTCATTTTATTTCCCATAGCTCCCAGATTTATAAAGAGACGCACACACATGCAAACACTTTCTTTACTTCCCCATTTCTCCCTTTTCTTTTATAAAGTCTAATATGGTTAAAGCTAGAAGATATTGCAATCGCCTCTAGCTGAGTCATTGTTTCTCTAATGGAAGATTGCTTAGTACTAAGAGAACTAATTAGAATTTGAAAAGTGAAGAGTGATTTGTTTGACAGTTCTTATTCTGCTTTCCGGCTCCCCTAATTTTTTTTAAAAAGCATACTTTATATATTAAAATATTAAAAATTAGAAATCCTTTACATTGTGCCAAGGGCGTTCACCAATATTATGATATACATCAGGGGTGTCAAACTCCAGGGGCCGGATCCGGCCTGTGGGGGTGTTTAGATTTGGCCCGCAGGGATGCCCTGAAAACAGTGAAGGACTAGCCTGTGGTGCCTCTGCCAATGAAAACAGAGCTCATGAGGGCTGCAGGCAGCCCTCCCAAGCTCTGTTTTCGCTGGCAGAGGGTTGTAGGAGGCAGCCACAGGTGAAAATGGAGCTCGGGAGCCCGTTTTTGCTGGCAGAACACTCAGACCACCATAGGAGCCCCCAACACTAGTGACTTTGAGCTGGCCATGCCCACCCTGGCGATGCTCATCCCAGCCCCCTGAGGTCAAACAACCCTGATGCGGCCCTCAATAAAATTGAGTTTGTCATCTCTGATATACATGAATCCTATATTACTGTCCCTAGAATAATTGTGCTAATTGATTCTTTGCTTTCATGCTAATTGATATTCTTTTGTTAGCATTTATATTTATACCACAAATATGTTTAGTATTAAAATTAAAATTTAATTAATTAAAACTATGTTCTATCATATTTAGAATTACATTTTCCTCTTTTCCCCTCTCCCCCTCTCTTGCAGTGATGGGTCAGGAAGCTGGAAAACCCACATGGCCAAAACCAGCAGGAGGCTATCAAACTATTACAGGGAGAAGATATGGAAGAAGACATGCCTATGTCAGTTTTAGACCATCTCTGATGAATCAAGAAAGATATTCAAACCAACACACAGAAGAATGTGAAGGATTAGAACTAGACAGTGTTCTAAAAGAAAATTTATTGTGTGTGTGTCACATAATTAAAAATTATTATTATTTGATTCAGAGAAAACTTTCTACTTTGGGCAAACATTGTACAAAAAGCTAGGATGTTGTGAACTTAACATAATTTGGATATATCGTATTGATCTTTTTTATCTATAACATATATCTGAACCTTATTTGAATAATATGTAGTTATTATGTGTAATCCAAGTCTGCTCCCAGGTTTGCATTATTTAATTTTAGTCAGCCTGACTTATATAAAATAGATGATAAAAGTAGGTCATCGGTGCTCATTTTCTTTTGTTATACATTCAAAGATCATATCTTTGAATATTAATATTTTGGGGTATCCATAGTTATGCTATTATCTACCATACTTGCAATTTCTAATTCATTATTATTTTCTGAGTTGCTTTAATTGGTATAGTTTATGTTAGTTTGCCTTTCAAAATTATTAACATTATATGACTGGTTCTTTCCATGTGGAATGCTATCAAATTTCTGTGATTGGTTTTGCTAAATCTGCTTGCATTTTAAATTTCTAAGAACTATTAGAAGTTTTCTTCAATCAAATTGTACAAAATAATATCCCTCAATTATATTACTGCAGTCATAGAGGCAATATTACGTAAGATGCCCTTTTATTTATTTAACACATTTATATAATATTACTTTACCAAAACTGACTCACAACACATAGAATGTGAAAAGAATATTATGTGTACCATTAGAATAATAATCAGAAGCGAATATCAGTAACTAAATTTTTCAAACTCGATCATAATGTTTTTTTCTAAATGAGAAACATTAAAGAGGAAGTTTGATAAAGGGAAAGTGAAAGCAAATCTAGAATCAAATAAAATCAGTCAATGAAACAACTGTTCACAAAGTAGTGACACTACTTGTACCATGTTAAATGAAATACTATATATTTGGGGTGATTTAATAGTAATGATAAAATACCCTATTCCTAATCTATAAGAAAATTAGTGGGCAGTTGCATAAGATTTTCAGAAAAAGATTATTCATAATGAAGGCAGCAAATTAATACTGTATAATGATCTGGAAATATATAGCATGCTACAACTAATTATATAATTTCATTTTTTAAATACGTAGCCTGATTCAGCCGTAGAGAGAAGTCAAAATGCTGGTTTATAGTTAAGCATGGTAGTGAATGCTGTTTTATTGCTAGCATCTGCTCTTTATGCCTCTTTTTTGGTTTTTTTTTTTTAAAAATCTTTATTGTTATTTATTGATTGATTTGTTTGCCACCCATCTCATCTTGAGGTGACTATTTCTTTAGTGCTATATCTGATCCTATGAAGTCATTCTTTGTTCTATAATTCTAATATATTTCGTTGAACAAGTTAACAAGCTGGACATTTTTCTTTTTATGTATCCCTGAACAAAATGGAGGGAAGATCCCCAATTTACTTAGTCATTTTTGCTGGCAAGATATGTCTAATTGGAACAATGGAACTGTATCCACCAATGTGTTTGATTATTCACAACAAACCAAAAGTTTTTAAAATTAATTTTCCATTGGAATCATGCCAATACATGGCATATTAGTAACTTTATTGATGTAGTATTGAAAGATGAGGTAGTATTACAAATTATTGCGAATAGATTTTCTTCCAAAAATGAGAAATATCTTAGTTACTTTTATATCTAACCACTTTTTCTAAATGACTTACTGTATATATTTATTTATATACAGTATAAATGATTTATACTTGGGTCTATACCACTTTGCTAGTTAGTTAAAAAAGCAGCTGTAGATTGATACAACATCTTTAATTACTGATTTTATCATGTCTGTTTTACTATATAATCAATAACTGGTCTTATCCTTCCAATGTATCTTTCTTTATAATTCTATATAAAGGTTCCAATCCACATGTTCCAGTATGTTCTCCATTGGTAGATGCATCATTATTACCAAATGTTGGATCAGAAGAACCTGTTTGTGAAGCTGATTCTAGCCACGCTATCAACATAGATACTTCCATGTTTTCTCCAACATGCTACAATTTGTGTGATCACCAAAATGTTGCCAACAATGAGAGTTCTAATGACAGTGTGGAGTCTACTTCTGAAGAGTGCAATAATCTTCACGGCCAGAATGGAATTGCCTTTGTAAACATTGACTCTTATGAACCAGACAGCAGTGATGGAGAGGAAGATGGCTTCCAAAGTGCTATCACATTAGCTAAAGAAGAAACAGGACTATTTCAAGAAAAACTGGACAATATGCTTTCCAGGTTAGAAAAAGATATGGACTCCTTCAGTGATCTGCAGTCACATCTGCCTAGTTTCAGTCATACCATAAGTAAAAGTTTTGAAGATCTTAGACTGGTGCCTTTTAGAAGACTTTCTAGCATAGAATCAGATACTGTTTATCAAAATAAGTCACTTTCAAAACTATCTAATGAAGAAACTTTAGCAAAAAATAACCTTGTTTCTACTTATGATTTAGAACAGAGAAACAGTAGTACAGCTGAGCCTACAATTAGGACACATGTAGGAATTTGTAATGCATTGAGTACTACAAGCATGAAGGTGGACCAAGAGAATTCGGCTGAATTGGTAGTAAGACCCAAAGTTAGAAAACAGAATCCTGTTAGCGAGATTGATAAAAAACAGTCTGTAATGAATGAAGAGGAAGAAAAGAGAAGTAGTAAAATGTGGACTGATAATGTGAATGACCATCAATGCAATGCTGAAATTACCTCAAAGCATAATAAAGAAAAAAAATCTAATATGATTTTTGACCCCAAAGAGTATGAATTGGCTGAAAAGAAAGGAAAAAATGAACCAAGGAAACAAAATACAAGTCTTCAAGAAAAAAGTAAAATAGATGATAGTGCTTTTTGGGACGAATTTGAAGATTGTGGTAGAAATCTATCTAGTTCCAACAAAGATGAAGATGACAGGTAAGTTTTTAAAAGAAGTTTAATTTTACATTTTCCAAATATTTGATTATTTTTGGTTAATATGTGTACATGTAAAATTGACCAAAAAATTCCTGAATCCTCAATGTTGCAGTGTTATAATTCCTTTTCAGATATCATAGTGATATCTGAACAGTGTATTTCTTCCAATTGTGTGTTGTACTTACAAGTGGCTGGATCAGGCACTGTACCTTTAAATATCACAATCCATTTAGTTTCAGCTAAATGTATTCATCTAATTTTTTCTATCAATAAGCAAATAAATATTTTGAGAAACTATACAAAAATATGGTTTGCGGTACTTTTGTTTTTGGAAATAAATTTATTTTACCAAGAAGAATACTGCGGTGACTTCTACAACAACATGGTTTGGATCCCAAATCATCTTACTGGAATAGATAAACACTCAAATGTGTTCAGAGAAATCCCACCAAACTCCTTACAATCCTATGTCCCTGTATAAACTAGTGTGGCTAGTTTTTAAGATTATAGCAAATCCATTAGTCTTTTGAAATGTTTTTTGAGGGAACAAGTAAGAAGACAACTGTTACATAAGAATTCTGCTCAGTAATCTCTGAATCGAATATTAACAACAAAATAGCATAAACATACTTTATGTTTTCTTCAGTGGTATTGTCTAAACATCCTAAGAGCATTTAACAATTTTATAAGATATATTGGGATCTGATAGAAAGTTGCCTATGTGCAGTACTGTCTCTGTAGTTAGCTAAAAAAATACAGAGCAGTGAAGAACTGAAAAGTGTAAGACATGATTAAATGCATAGGTAATATCCGATTTCATACGATCAAAGAGAGTTTTCCTCTTAATTCTCAGACCTTCAAAAGTTGGTCCAAAGGGTTGGGAAACTCTCCAGAGCAAGTACAAGGTAAACAATTACCACCCCTTTATTTAATTAGTTCTATGCTTCAAGACTTTCCATTGTGTTCTATTTGCTTTTAACTGCGTAAATGCAGTGTTAATGCACTTCTTAGGTTTGATTAAGCTGAAGATTATACAAAACTATACAACCTGTGGTAGCACTAATATGTTCAAACTAAAATGTTCCATCTGCCAAAACTACTTCTGAAACCTAAGTTGCAGGGAAGGTTCATGATACATAATCACTATTAAAGGATTATACTTCCTAATAAATTAGGAAGATTTTTGGGGGTGAATGGAATACATCAGAGTTTACAATATTTTTTCTGAATATTTGAAAGCATTTCCTTATTTTTCACTATATCTCTGTCAAATATAAATCTGCCAGAAATGTTCCTCCTCCTTTAAATCTGTGTTGAAGAATTGAGAAATGCTTACCTTGAACCTGGCTTCCAAAGAAAGAAACATTAACCTAACATTAAAACATTACTCCAACCTTTCTCCCAGGTGATTGCCTTGCTTTCCTTGGGGGTGAGGAATATGCCATTGGGGTCTCTCGAAGATGAAACATACTTTCAAATAAATAATAAAAAGAAAATTTTGGAAGACTTAAGATGGAGGCTGAGGATTTTTGGAAGTCTCAAACTGATTTACAGTTGCAAGAAACAAGTATGTGAACCCCTTGGGATTACGTGAAGTTTTGCATGAATTGGTCATAAAATGTGCTCTGAACTTCATCTAAGTCACAACAATAGAAAAACACAGTCTGCTTAAAATAATACTACCCAAACATTAGATGTTGCCATGGTTTAATTGAACATAACATGTAAACATGCACAGTGCAGGGAGGAAAAAGTATGTGAACCTTTGGACTTAATAACTGGTTGACCCTTCTTTGGCAGCAATAACCTCAACCAAACGTTTCCTGTAGTTGCAGATCAGACCTGTACAATGATCTAGAGTAATTTTGGACCACTCCTCTTCACAAAACTGTTTCAGTGTAACAATATTCTTGGGATGTCTGGTGTGAATCGCTCTCTTAAGGTCATGCCATAGCATTTCAATCAGGTTGAGGTCAGGACTCTGACTGGGCCACTCCAGAAGGCGTATTTTGTGCTGTTGAAGCCATTTTTTTGTTGAATTACTTGTATGCTTTGGGTCATTGTCCTGTTGCATCACCCATCCTCTGTGGAGCTTCAGTTGGCGGACAGATGCTCGTACGTTTTCCTGCAAAATGTCTTGATAAACTCTGGAATTCATTTTCCCATCAATGACAACAATCCGTCCAGGCCCCGAGGCAGCAAAGCAGCCCCAAACCATGATGCTCCCTCCGCCCTGTTTTACAGTGGGGATGAGGTTTTGATGATGGTGTGCTGTGCCTTTTTTTCTCCACACATAGTGTTGTGTGTTCTTCCCAAACAACTCAATTTTGGTTTCATCTGTCCACAGTATATTTTGCCAGTAGTGCTGTGGAACATCCAGGTGCTCTTTTGCAAACTTCAAACGTGCTGCAATATTTTTTTTGGACAGCAATGGCTTCCTCCGTGGTGTCCTCCCATGTACTCCATTCTTGTTTAATGTTTTCCTTATTGTAGATGTGTCAACAAAAATGTTAGCATGTGCCAGAGATTTGTGTAGGTCTTTAGCTGACACTCTAGGATTCTTCTTTACCTCATGAAGCATTCTGCGCTGTCCGCTTGCAGTCATTTTTACAGGACGACCACGCCTAGGGAGAGTAGCAACAGTGCTAAACTTTCTCCATTTGTAGACAGTCTGTCTTACCGTGGACACATGAACATCAAGGCTTTTGGAGATACTTTTGTAACCCTTTCCAGCTTCATGCAAGTCAACAATTCTTGATCGTAGGTCTTCTGAGAGCTCTTTTCTGCGAGGCATGGTTCACATCAGATAGTGCTTCTTGAAACCAGTAAACCCAAAACAGGTGTGTGTTTTTAAAGGGCAGGACAGCTGTCAGCAACACATCCAATATCATCACACTGATTGGAGTCAAGGTTGGCTCACTCCTGGCTCCAATTATCTCTTGGAGAAGTCATTAGGCTAGGGGCTCACATACTTTTTCCTCCCTGCACTGTGAATGTTTATATGTTATGTTCAATTAAACCATGGCAACATCTAATGTTTGTGTAGTATTATTTTAAGCAGACTGTGTTTTTCTGTTGTTGTGACTTAGATGAAGTTCACAGCACATTTTATGACCAATTCATGCAAAACTCCACATAATCCCAAGGGGGTCACATACTTTTTCTTGCAACTGTAGATTTGTTTGTACAATATATACCTAAAGTAAGGAGATAGTAGATTTGGAACACAAACAAAAATATTCTGAAATTATGTCTACCATTTTAGTATTTAAATAGGAAGGCTTTAGTTTCATAATTCTAGGATGGCAAAAATATTTTATAGTAAAAATATTACCTAGATTTGAATGAAAATGAAATTTTCAAGATTTTTTTAAAACAAAAACCTGTCACAAAGACCAATGCTATTTTTCTGTTCATATTATTATATTAGATTTATATCTCTTTTATTTTGCATATTAAATCTACTTTGTGATATAAGTTATTTAACAAGAAAAATAGAAAATAATGGAAGTATTCATAATACATCTTAAAACTGGCAGCATTCCAAGTTTGCGGTTAATCATTCCCTTAGTGCTTACAGGCATTGCTGTCCAATATCATTAGGAAAAGGCTTTGGATTTTAAATGTAATTAGAACGTACTGGAATTTTACAGGGGTGTCCTGTTAGCAAATAGTTCAGAACTGGGATTATGTAATGTTGAGGACAAGGGATAAATGAAAAATAGTACAAAGACCATAATTTATATATAAAAATAAAAGCTTTAAAATATTCGGCAATTTCTATTCTGTATCTAGCGCCTTGTGATATGGTTGATAATCTTGATGTTTATAGGAGCAAATTATGTTTAGCAAATTTGATTCCACCAAGCTACCAACTGCTTATTCATTTATTATCTATTTATAATTTCTGTTTAAAATTTAGGTATGTGTAAGAAGAAAAAGAGAATAATATATGAATGTCCATCAAATTGTTTCATCATGTTCTCAGCATGTTTATTAGAAGTTTAAAAGGTGTTTATTGCTAGTCCTGTATTATTAAATACACATTTTCATATCAGAAATTAGCTCAAAGAAAGTATTATTTTTCTTTGCATCAGGCCTGTTCTAGTCTGATGCTGCTGAGGAATCTAAAGTCTAGTACCCAAGAGGGGATTTTTAATAAAATAGATCCTAATTTTCTTGGTGCTCCTTCAGATTACAAATATTGTATTTTATTTCTTTAGTAAGAGATAAGATTAGGATTTCAGGATGAAAGAAGTAGTAGCTTTTTCTTTCGATCTCACCTGGGAGAATTCTTAAGGGATTTTTTTTTTCATAGTATGATAGTCTAGGGAATGATCCCCTAGACTTATGGACAGAATCATCCAAACTTGAGCATGTTCATATCCAAAGGGGAAACTAGACATCCTTTTAGATCTTTTCCATTTTATGCTCAGCTTGATTGAATCATGGCAACTATTAACTCTATCAATCTTTAAGTGCAACTGGACTCTCTCAAATTGCAGCTCAGAATGCAGTGATGGTGAATGGTCGGCATCCCTGCCTTCTTATTTTTCTGTGACTGTGAAAGATCAGTCCTCCAGTGATGAAAGCTGGGAGACACTTCCAGGCAAAGAGGAACAGGAACCTGAAGAGCAGAGTGATAGCAGTGGTGTGGAAGAGGAACATAATGAATTTGGTTTCCAATCACGGTATGTCATTCTAATAACGAAGTGCTTTTTTAAAAAACAAAAAACTATGCCATACCGTATGCACTATATAATCTACACACAATGTAGAAAATTTACATACACATATGTTTATATTGTGTACTACTGCATTATATTATACTGTATATATACAATGTTACTGAGAGCAAAGGAGAAACAGAAATTGGGTGGAAATTGATCATAAAGGGAGGTGTATGGATTAAGGAGTTGCATGTGAGATTTTTGGGGGAAGATGTGTTTGATACAGTTTTGGAATGCTTTTCTGACTTGAGCTAGCTGCTGATCTTCCTGTCCTTAGCAACAGCAATAGAATCACAGAATCCTTGAGTGAGAAGAAGGACTAAAATTCAAATTTAAAATATTCTTTAAAAATCCCTAACATAACAAAAACTTAAAATAGAATTTTCAAAATATATTTAAACAGGCTAAACATATATTAAATTTAAATAAATATATAACTTGCATAGGTAGTCCGCAACTTACAAACAATTACCACCATTCAAGTTATGACAGCCTCAGAAGGGTGCTTTTTGCACAATCTCTTTCCTGAACCCGAGTTTCTGTTTTCAGGAAAAGAATCAGATGAATTGAGCCATACTGGTGATAACAGAAGTGCTAGACTTATTGACAAATTGAACATTAACAAATGACCAGGCCTGAATGGCATCCACCCAGGGATTATTAAGGGGTTTAAAGTTGAAATTGTAGACCTCCTAACTAAAATATGCAACCTGTCTTACAATACTTGCGTGAAGGACTGGAAAGTTAGCTTATGTAACTCTTTATTTTTAAGAATGCCTCACAGGGAGATGAAGGGGATTATAGCAGGGGTGAAATCCAGCAGGTTCTGGAGAACCAGTAGCGGAAATTTTGAGCAGTTCGGAGAACCGATAGCGGAAATTTTGAGTAGTTCAGAGAACCAGCAAATACCACCTCTGGCTGGCTCCAGAGTGGGGTAGGAATGGAGATTTTGCAGTATCCTTCCTCTGCCACGCCCACCAAGCCACACCACGCCCACCAAGCCACGCCCATAGAACCAGTAGTAAAACAATTTGGATTTCACCACTGGATTATAGGCTTGTCAGTTTAACATCTGTTCTAAGGAAGTTAGTGGAAATCGCTATTAAAGATAAAATTACCAAACTTTTGGAGACTTGTTCAAGAATACCCAACGTGGGTTTTCTAAGGGAAAGTCTTATCTAATTAATTGAACAGAGGTTTTTGAGGGTGTTAATAAGCATGTGGAAGGATGACCCAATAGGAACTGTCTGCTTAGATTTTTCAAAAAGCCTTAGATAACGTCCCTTTTTAAAGACTTTTCATTAAGCTTAACAGCCATGGAATAAAAGGGCAAATCCTTTTGTGCACTAATCAAATCAAATATTTTTATTACAGGCAAAGACAAGGATAAGAGGGTGGGATACAGCTAAAAAGCAGAAAAATACATCAGAATAAGTTATTACATATGAAAAGCTAAAAATATAAATCTAAAATCTAAAAAGATTCTAAAAAAAGCTAAAAGGAGGAGCTGTGCACGGGCATAAGGAAGCACATCAAACTGAATCTATTTCGCTACAACTGACTCTAGAATAACTAACTACGTGCTCATTAAAACTGGTTTATGGTATCAATAAGTTTTATATTTTTTTAGGTCTTTATATGTAATTAATGCTATCTAATAAGGAATTCTTCTAGTAATATAACTTGTATGGGTTGTGAAGATACATAGGGTTGTATCTGTAACTTATCACTAGGCCCATCACTACATGAAATGAGACTGGTTTACAAAATGGCAAGTGTAACTGAAGGAATAAGTCATAAGAGAATCACCACCACACAAAGATTTAGGCTTCCATAAAATACATTTTTACAATATATTATACTCTTGTTTTATTCCTTAATAATTAACAAGGAGTTCTGTAATATATATATATATATATACTACTGTCTTGCTTTTCCTTTCTGGTAATATATGTTTTTTTGCCATTTGTATTACTGTCAGAAATGCCAAAATAGCAAGCAGCACAGTATTTTTAAAGCATTTAAACACTTTAGAAAATAAGAAAAAAGGAGAAACCTGCATTCCTGTTTTGGGTAAAACGAAGGGAATTGCTTCATATGCATTTTGAAACATCACATTATTCCAGGCAGACCTCACATAGCCTCACATAGTCAGCAAATATTTGGAGTTTTAAAGATGAAATTGTAACTTTGCAATCAATGCCCACATTTAGTACGTTTGCAACATCTCTCTTTCCATCACATATTTGCTATTGCAAACTATTGGCGTTGTTCTTTTGTGCCTGGCCCATTTTTTTTTAATCTTCCCCTCACAGAGTGAAGAGATTGCCTAAACAAACAATCTCTTTCTGAGCGGTTTTTCTCTGCAGTGCAGCACTTCCTTAAAAAGTGCTAACTGCAACTTAACAAGTCATTTTTGTGATCTTAATTAGTCTGCTTACAGCTGCCTATAACTGACAAGACTTTAATCATATAGTAACATGTTTACTATATGGTGTTACTAAAGTCAATGATTTCTCTTAATGATTTAATTTTTGTTGCTCTTAAAGAATATAAACCTTAATGAATAGAGCAAATATGAAAAATCATTTATGGGAACACAGATAGTAAGCATGTTTATGGTGTGAATCTTTTTAGGGGAAATTTAATTAGAATCAGATTATCTTTGTCTCTCTAGGTTGGAGTGCATATTTCCTACCAGAGAAGTTAAGACTCTTAGTTCAAAATGCTAAAGTCTAAAACAGTTGAAAAATAGTGATCTTATTTTTAATGTTACTATCTTGCTTACAATATTTGGCAATAGTGCAAAGTCATATTTAGAATAATAATACAGATTATTTAATTATTTCATCAAATGTTATATTACATTCAGATACAAAAATAGGAAAAATCTGCAGATTTATCAAAATAAAATCTCAAATTGATTAAAGTTTTTTAGACTTAGTTTTGGATCATTTTCTCCAGAAAAGAATGAACATGTATACTTTTTCACTCATTTGTATAAATAGGTTCTCTTTATCTAGTTTTAGGATTTTTGTAGAAAACAAGATTTTAGATCATATTTATACAAATATTATTCAAAAGGATTCAGAAACGTGAGAAAGTAAAAGTAGTAAAAGGTTTTATCTTGCAAAATAGAAAATGATCGTTTCAGCCTTTTGCTTACAAATTGATGTTTCGCTTTCTCAAGCAGCAAATCTACTTAATCCTTGTTTTCTTAATATTTTTTTGCAGGCTTCAGCTTTGTTTGAGCTTCTGGTACTGTACATAAAAATTCAGGTTGTTGTGTCACACTCAAAACTTGATTTTATGTGCATCCTTCTTTCTCCTATATATCATTTTAAAATTTCAGCTCATTATGCAGTTATAGTAGTTTCCATTTTTTTCAGATTTAAATGGAGGTATTATCCAATACTAATTCTCAAAATCTTCCACCTGTAATGAATTCTTTTCTTTTGAAATTCTATCCAGGTAATCCTAACCAAAATATCTCCAATCCAAAACCTAAGGCACCATTGTTTCTTTTTTCTTTCTGAGATAAAAAATTATCAGCAAGAAAGCTCTAGAATTTAATTAGACATCCAATTCTTAACAGTATTAAGCATCTATGACTTCCATAGTTTGGTTTCTTTTTGTACTGGACTAATTTAACTACATAAAAAGATAGATGTTTTAGAATAGAATAACAGAGTTGGGAGGGACCTTGGAGGTCTTCTAGTCCAACCCCCTGCTTAGGCAGGAAACCCTATACCATTTCAGACAAATGGTTGTCCAACCTCTTCTTAAAACTGCCAGTGTTGGAGAATTCACAACTTCTGGAGGCAAATTGTTCCACTGTTTAATTGTTCTAACTGTCAGGAAATTTCTCCTTATTTCTAAGTTGCTTCTCTCCTTGATTAGTTTCCACCCATTGCTTCTTGTCCTACCCTCAGGTGTTTTGGAGAATAGCTTGACTCCCTCTTCTTTGTGGCAGCCCCTGAGATATTGGAACACTGCTATCATGTCTCCCCTAGTCCTTCTTTTCATTAAGCTATTAGTATTTTGGCTGTTTTTAACCATAACATTGTTTTATTACATGGATTTTTGGCTTGTTGTTGTTGTGAACTGTTAGTTGTCCAGAGTTATGTATCTGAGATGGGCAGCCATAGAAATAAAATGTATTTCTTTCTTCAATTCCCACCAGAATAAAATTACTGTCTTGCATTCTCTTAATATCATAGCAAAAACAATATGTTTTTTTTTTAAAAAATACATAATAAACATTTTAGGTTATTGCTATGCTGTATGCTGTTATGTATCTTAAGATAATATATATCTATATACATGTCACATATAAATATGGTTCATAAAGCATCGCATTTTAGCTATGCTGTTGAACTGTGCTATTATTTTTAAAGTGATGTCTGTTGAAAATAGATTGCAGGTATTTGACTGTTAGTACTCAGCATAAATAAAGGCTTCTGTACTTTCTATACTATTTGGTTACATGTAGTTTAAATTTCGTATTTGCTATATTTTGTATAGCTTTTCTCATTTTTATATAAAGGGAACAGACCTCTCTAGAGGACGGAGAGATTCCTTGGTTGCAGTACCATGAAGAAATTGAAAGTAGCAGTGATGAAGAAAATGATCAAGCTAGCCATTTTGTACATCCTGGCTTTTTTATGTTAGATGGGAACAACAATCTAGAAGATGATTCCAGTATGAGTGAAGACCTAGATGTTGAATGGAGGTTGGTAGATGCTTCTGTTATCTTTGGTACTTTAAACTAGGTAAATGGTGATTGGGAACATAATCTGTTTTATATTTTATTTGAAATAGAATTGCATAATGAAACCCTTGGTCCATGATAGGTGTAAGAGCTTCTGGTTAATGTATTAGAAATATATGACAATGGTGGCCATCAGAATCAAACTGGACTTAATAGTAGTTGCCATTTGCTCCCTAATTGTCATCCTTTAAACCGGGGATGTCAAACTCAAGGCCCAGTGGCCAGATCCGGCCCGCGGGGTGATTAAATCTGGCCCACGGGGCTGCTCTAGAAACAGTAAAGGACTGGCCTGCAGTGCTTCTGTCAGCGAAAACAGGCTCTCAAGCTCCATTTTCAGCTGCCACAGCCTCCTGCAACCCTCTGCCAGTGAAAACAGAGCTAGGGAGGGCTGTTTTTGCTGACAGAGCACTCAGGCCACCACAGGCACCCCTGGTGAGTGACGTCAAGTTGGCCACTCCCACCCTGGCCTCTCCACCCCAGCCCCCCCGAGGTCAAACATAACCCTGATGTGGCCCTCAATGAAATCGAGTTTGACACCCCTGCTTTACATAGATCAAATGCTTAATGGTTTGAGAGAGCTCTGAGTAAGTTGAAAAAGTTACAAAATGAGAATGCTGAAAGAGGTGGGAGAGACAAAATAAGAAAATATTATTTTGCTATGTCTCCATGTCATTCCAGTCTGAAGAACTGAACTCATATGTTGGATCTTATCTCACATGGGGATAAACGGGTTTTCCTGGCAAAGCTGTGTCCTGAAATTCTAGAAGTAGCCTCATTAAACAGCTAACATTCTATTTATTTTCATATCTGAATATGAAATAGCAGAAATTGTATTTTTTCATATATGTAAGATCATATTTATTCAGAAACAAACTTTTAAGCATCGTTGCACATGTTTTCATCCCTATTTAGAGATTAAAAAATAATGCTATATTTTCCTATAGGCTACTTGATGAATTTGGGGATGGTCTTGGGGTTGCTCAAGCAATTTCGTATGTGGATCCCCAGTTCCTTACTTATATGGCCTTGGAAGAACGATTGGCACAGGCTATGGAGGTAAGTTTTAAGATTAGATAAGGTGAAGAAAAAACATGGGTTAAGTCTGTTTATCACTAACTTCCACTGTGGATTTAGATTTTTTTTTATGTGTGTAATGTAATATATCTAATAATAATGCAATATATCTTTTTATCTAATCACTGTATCACAATTACCACAGAAAAAGTAACTGCAATATTGATGGTATTTACATTTCCTCCTTAAAATTCAGTTACTATTTACCAGTCACTATGCTGCATGCTGATAATATCTGTAGTACCATTCAGTGTTGTGATAATGTTGCCATACCTTTTTAGCCTTCATGCATACCCCAATAGATGACACATATAGCCATTCCTCTGTTGAAAATAATTTAGGAAGACAGCTGTTGACACATGTATCTACAGACTCCAGGATTTATGAAATGGATCAGATATAACTAAGAGATGGCCAATTGGCAAGACAAGTCATTCTACTTGCAGTAGATGAACACTGTAGATAGCCTTTGACTTACCAGTCACTTAACAGCCATTTGAAGTTATAAGAAACTCAGGAATAATTAGTCATGAACCATCCTTGAAGGCTGGAAAAGTTTAGTATCATTCATAAAGATTGCATTCTCTAGCTTTCTGGCTGGGAAGGGGGAGGGGGGAGCACGGTTTCAAAATTATGGTAAGGAGTGGCAGGCAAAGATATTTAAGGTTACATAGAATGTTAGTTTGGTATAGTAGTGAAGATGCTGGCCTACAAACTAACAGCCTATGTGCCCCTTAGACATGAAAACTGGCTGGGTGACTTTGGACCAGTTACTTTGTCTCATCCCAATCTATCTCACAGGATTTTTTGGGTAGGGAAATAGGAGGCATATATAAAAATATAATGATAATGATGCACCTGACTGTTTTATGAGTCAAGTGTATAAGTGTTCTAAAAATTGAATCTAATGTGAACTGAAGGTCTTAACTTTATGAATTTGTAAATGTGCTGCAAGTTTTTGCAACATGCATGTACCTGTATTGGATGGTTTGCATCCTCTAAAAAAATGTCTCCCTTGCTAAAAACTACTTTTGCAGCCAGAAGCTTTTTATTTAAAAAAAATAACAGTTCCATTCAATTGGGAAAAAAATAAAATGAACAAGGCAAGTAATCCAAATACTCCTGTTGGGGAAAATTAAAAACATATTTTTCCAACTCCGCCAAAAAGTTGTGTTCATATATTTGCTCCAAGACAGTTCTACTGCGAGTCTCATGCAATGGTGGTCTTCTGAAAAGGAATCAGAATGTTATTCTGGTGCACTACCACTCATGCAAAATATTGAAAAGTGTGTTTTTCATGAACCTGAAGAAGACAGTTGGACAATGAACCAATTCATATTATGTATTCAAATTTGCTGGACTTAGTATCAGACACTATTATATTCAGAATCCACATTCATTTTGATCTAATTGTAAGTGCTTCATAAGTCCAATTAGGTGAGTGAAGACTGTTCATCAGATCTGAAATAAGAGGCAGTAGATTTTGTTTTGTAATGGTTACAGAGTTAGGAAGCCTGTAGTGTTATTTACTTGTTTGTTAATTTGATTTTTAAGTTGCCCAACTCCAATTGACTATTGGCAGCTGACAAAATAATGAAAAATATAAAAAACTAAATACAGCAAAATAGACAAGAACAAAATGCAGAATTGTTACAAAACAGCACTCTACACGGCACATCAAAAAATAAAACATCAGAAACAATTGCATACTGCTGTCAGGAATTATTTTTCTTTGGTACAAAATAAATGGGGGTGCGTAGAAAGAAGGATAAATGAAAACTTCCTTCAAATTGTACTCTGGAAACTCATTTAAAATAGCAAATTTTTGAATATATATGGAATGTTGCCTTTTGCCTGTGAGGCGGGCTGGGAGCTTCGAGTTGATGGTACAAGTTAAATGAAGAGGCAAATTAACTGCTTCCTCTTTCTTCAGAGCATCAGCAAAATCAGTGTACTTTTTGTGCAGGGAAAGAGATGCAGGTAGCAGTGCAGGAGGGAGAGGGGAAGAGGGATGCTTACAAATAGTGGGATTGATATTTTAGACATGGAAAATAGATCTTTCTTCCCTTGCTTCCAGTGGACCTATGAATTAGGAATTATGTGCCTAGAATTATTGGAATGTGTAATTTAAGAAAGATATGAATATAGTGACAAGAATGTTGTATAATCATTTATTCTTAGTTGCAGAGGAGCTCTACTTTATAAGATAGGACCAATTCCAAGTGATGGCCTATCAATTGTTTCAATTAGCATGAGGTTTTCTAATAACTGGGTAGATAATTTAATATGATGCACTGTAGTCTCATCTATGAAATTAGCAGTTGTGCCAGAATCTAAAAGGGAGCTATATTTCTCTGCCTAAGGGGGAGTAAAAAGTTAAAGGATATTAAAATTCACTAGCCTGTTATAAGCTATTTGAGCTCATCTTAATTGACCAAGAATCCTCCTGCAGAACTCAGAAGGAGAACCCAGGGTTGGGCTGCTGCCGGTTGTAACAACCAGTTCGCCCAGAACCAAAAATGTGAGTACGCGCGAAGAATTAACTTCAGCAGGGCAAGCCTGTAAAAGCATAAATCAGGGTCTCTGGTTTTCTGCTGCAAACAGAGAAACCTATGTGCATGGGTTATTTCCAATAGAAGAGAATATATATAATTCAGGATTGAGCTTTGAGGTCTACAGTTTGGTTGCTTGCTGACAGACATTTCATTACCCGACTAGGTAATATCATCTGTACTAATTAATACAGGGTTTGCTCCTTGTTTATATATAGCAGCTTGTTCTGCCAGTATTATGGGTGTATGGTTTTCTCCTTGATAGTTCTTTGATTAGGTTATTGTTTTCTGCTTGATTGGTGGTCTGGTGTTAATCCCTGTTTATCTGAGTATAGGTTGCTGGAGAGGATGGCTGATGTGTCTGAATGCCAAGCATCCAGGAATTTCCTAGCATTTTTGGATTTAGTTTGGTCTAGGATGCTCAGTTTTCCAGTTGAAACTATGACTGGTCTGTCAATATGTTGTAGGATTAAGGAGTTTTTATTGTATCTTTTGACTGCTATTTGGTGTTCATGGATGCACTCTGCTAGTATTCTAACTATCTGTCCTACATAGTAGCTGTTATAGACCTGTATGTTGTAGATGACTTATGTTTTTCTTCTGCGCTATTAGATTTTCTGGTTAAGATGCATTGAAGGACTTCAGTTGGTTTGTGTGCTATGGTGATACCATGTGGTTGTAACTCTGTTGATTATTTTTGAGATATTTGTGATATATGGCAGTGATAGGTTTTTCATAGTTTGTATTGGTTGTGCTATAGTGGTAAGGCACTTTCTGATAAAGTTGCGTGGATATCTGTTTTGTTGGAAAACATTGTGTAGATGGTCTGTTTCCTTTTCCTAGTGTACTGGGTTGCTGCAGAGCATTAGTTTTTTAACAGAAAGTAGGTAGGGAAACAGGTATTTTGATCTTAGTGAATTTGGCTAGGCCGACTGTGTTGTGTAGTACCAATGCCATGGATTCTTTTGCTAGTTCTGGATCTATGGATGTAAAAATACTGTGACATCAAATGAAAGCCTATTTCATATTTTTCTAAGTATTTGGTTTTTGTGTAAGCATTGTAATGAGGATTTAATAGAATATTGACTCCTCTCTGTGGGATTTCCAAACTTTTTTGTAAGTTCTTTGACTATCTTTTATGTTATGTTTCTTTCTTGTATGGCTGTGTTTCTTTCTCCCTAAAGAAAAGAGATGTTGTATGTTGGGATCCCTGGTAATGATAAAATTGGTTAAAGAGGTATGTGGGACTTGTATATTTTGAGAAATCCATAGAAGCATGGAAGGATGGATACGCTGCTTTTCATTCACTACTGTTTTTCTTTCGTGATTTAATCTTTCTTTGTTAAGTTGTTGAGTGAGATCTTGATCTGATTGCCTGGTTTCTGCATTGGTTGGTATTTACTGAGGTGTAGGTTTCGTTGTCTTCCAGTAATTCTTTGTCTTTGTGTAAAGTTTGAATACAGTACTTAGCATCAGCATTTGTCATGTGTTATTTTCATAACATTTCTTACTTATTTTATATTTCAATATTATTTGGGGAGATTAACTGAAAGGCAATAAAGTTAATAAATATTATTGAAATACTAGACAATCATGACCTGTTTCAGAGATATTTCCTTACACAAATAGAAAAAAGGCAAAAGATCACGGGAATATAAACAACTTCCGAATTTCTGTTGGTTTCCCCACTGAGTTTCATTGTGGGAAGCTGATAATGAACGTCAGAAATTTTCCTTCCTTCCTTCCTTCCTTCCTTCCTTCCTTCCTTCCTTCCTTCCTTCTCTTTTCCTTCCTTCCTTTCCTCCCTCCCTCCCTCCATTTTCCTCTTCTTCTTTTCTCCTTCATCCCTCCTTTTCACTTTCCTCCCTTTTTTTCTTCCTTGCTTCCCTCCCCTTCTTCCCTTCTTCTTCCTTCCCTCCCACCCTTCCTTCCTCCCTGTTTTTCCCTTCCTTTCAGGCAAATATGTGGCTGCTGACAGGTATGGGAGGAAGTAAGGAAGTATGCAACTGGCCAGTGTAGTGCAAGTGCAGAGGGACTGGTGGAGGGTGCACCATTTCTCCACTGAATTTCTCTCTGCGTGTTTCCCACCAATAAAGACTTTAATAGTGGAAAGGTGGCAAGGAGCATTGGCAATCATATCAGCTCCTTGTGGGCTCCCCACTGACTTGTGAAAAGGTGACAGGAAACGTTGAAAATGAGGTTCATGTGATTGTGGCTGATCATGACAGTATGAAGCCATCTGAACAGCAGCAAAACAGTTTCCCAAATTTAATTCCTTTGGGAGTATTAGTTCCCAGCATTCTGCAAATTAGCCCATTTGAGAGATCTTTGTTGGCAAAATTTTGCCTTACGATGCAGCATTTTGTTCAATTGAAGATTACAAAGTATTAGACGTAAGTGTTCTAGTAGTATATAAATAATATGGTTTCTGAAGATTATTCTTAGAATAACATTGATCATGAGTAATTTAAATTATAGATCAAAGTTTGTCACTGAATACTTAGCAAATAAAAAGTTACTTTATAATATTCCCATAAATTTTTGTTTTGTTTTAGTGGACAAATAGAAGTGAGCAATTCTGAAAACTTTCAATGCCAACATATTTTCACTAAAAAAAAAAGCTTAACTGATTTTAACAAATGCAAATATTTTTTCCATTGTAAAATACAAAATTGCATATAGTATAGTGCTAACTTTTTCCAATGCTGCCTGTATTTTTCGCAATAAATACTTTTATTTTAAGTCAACTTATGCTGACATTTGAATGCTTTCCCAACTGCAATTTTAGAATCTGAATATACGTATAAATAGAAAGATGTCACATCTGGATCTTCTGAAAATGATTGTATGTGTGCTTAAATATATAAATTCTAAATATGGACATTTTTATAAACCATCAGAAAAATGGTCAGAATATAAATAAAAATATGAGTTATTCAGAGCATTGGCATCATGTTTGCTTTCTATTACTTAATGACAGTTTAAAGGTCTTTAAAACTCTACCACACATGCCTCCAGTGTTCATATTAAGAGCTTCCAAAGTATTTAAAATGTCAAAGAAGCAGATGCCATCTCTGATCAGTTTTATTGTCAAGATGCTTCTTCATTACCATTGCAATCATGTTAATAGCAAAGATGTTAATAGCAACAGCAATTTGCTGACAATGTTGATAAGCTCTGACACTTGTCATGTTCTGGCATTGGACTTGCGGTTGTTTCAAAATCTTGCTACCGTATTTTTCGGACTATAAGACGCACCAAGATTTCAAAGAGGTAAGTAAGAAAAGAGGTTTTTGCTCTCATCGGGCCCCAGGAGCACTCTGCAGGCCTCCCAAACACTCTGTGCGCCCCGTTTTTTCACCCGTTTTTGTGAAAAACAGGTTATGCAGAGGGTTTGGGAGGCCTGCAGAGTGCTCCTGGGGGCTGGCGGAGGGCAAAAACACCCCCATTTTTGGAAAAATGGCTCTGTTTTTCACAAAAATGGAGGCATTTTTGCCCTCCCCAACCTCCAGGAGCACTCTGCAAGCCTCCCAAACCCTCTGCGCACCCTGTTTTTGTGAAAAACGAGCCCATTTTTCACAAAAATGGGACAAGCAGGGCGGAGCTTTGGAGGCCAAAAATGTCTGTATTCGGTGTATAAGACGCACCAACATTTCCACCCTCTTATAGAGGGAAAAAGTGCATCTTTACATTCTGAAAAATATGGTAATTCTTCTCTGGGCTTTTTTAAATAGTGATTTAAAAAACTGGCATCTTTTTCGCTCCTAAGTTAAAACGTAACTTGAAATATACAGGAAACACAATATTTTAAATCCCTAAGTAAATACACATAAATTATTTTTCTATTTTAATAGATTTTACAGTTTAATAATTGCAATCCCTTTTTTCTAAGTACAGTTAAATAAAATTAAATATTTTATTCTAGTGTATAATGCTAGGCAGTAAAAAACATTTTAAAACCATCTTAGCATTATCCCAGCACAGTACTTCAGTTGTTTTAAAGTAGGTCATCTTGTTAGTAAATGGATTATCTATTTCAGTTGAATTAAAAAAAAGCCATTCTGTTTAATCTGTTGCCAAAGACTCCTTCTATGTCTTACATTAAAATGGATTCCTATTCCTTACCACACTTTAGATCTTTTATATAGAGAAACCATTGTTAATTGCTAATAGTAATAATTGCTTTTAGGAGATTTTGAGCTTCCTGAGCTTTGTGAAAAGCAATACTGTACAACATTTGAACCAAGTGATGCATGAGTCTATACATTAAAAAAGTGTACATTCTTTGAAAATACTTTGTATGCTTGATGTATGTGGCTTAATTTCGGTAGGAAAACACAGCACCAATGTAACATGGTATCGAGCCCACCAGCACGCTTGACACCACAAGGCTGGGGCGTGAACAGACTCACCATCCCACCTGGCATTCTACCTCTGACGAGCTTCCCATTCCGTAGCTAACATTGGAGGGGTGGTCGGCAGATGGATGCTTCGCTACGGCACATACAAGCACATGGGGTGGTGGTGGTGATAACACTGGGGTAGGCGGTCGGTGTGGGGGTGGGGTGCGTCGGGGCCAGGAGTTTCACAGCTCCTTCAAGCTGTCTCCTTCAAGCTGTCTCCTTCAAGCTGTCTCGGAGACAGCTTGAAGGACAGAAACGCCGAGGGGGCGTTTCTGCTAGCAGATGATCAGTGTTCCTGTGACGGGACGTTTCGAGAAAGGCGCTGATTCCTCACCTGTTTCCTCGCCCGCCGATTCGTTTGCTGATTCACTGATCAAAGGCGTTGTCGGGGCGGGGTGTGGGCTATACCCCACAGCTGATAGGCGCGGGGTGAATAAATACAATACAAGCCACACGCTCGTAGCACCAATTTTACATCACTACAACTGCAGCGTTTTCAGAGCTAACAGGATTAAACCAACATTACACATCTAAGTGTCCTAAGTTAGGCTATTAGCTATATGGACCTCTACGGTCATTTCTACCCGTCCCAATGGGCAATTGTGGTTGCCATCACTACCGTCTTGACGGGAGAAGCGGCAGACTGGGTAGCGGATCTCTATAGCAACCATGCCCAGGAATTGACCAATGTTGGACTGTTTCTGGAGGGCCTCAGAGCTAGGTTCAAGGACGACTCCAGAACACAACAGGCCGAGGGGGAACTGGTTTCTTTGAGACAGAGGGGCCATCCCGCTAAAGACTATGTTAAAGAAGTTGAGTCATGGCAACTGAACTTGTTTTCTTTTGTGGTTTGAAAAAATTTTCACTGCTTCTTCGAGTAGTTTCTTAGTTGCCATGACTCGGCTTCCAGACAGCTACTGCGAATCTTCATCGATATATTGCCAAACACCAGTGTAATGTAAAACTGCTAGTCAAATATTATTTTCTCATTATTATCATTTCTCAAGATACTGCTTTAAGCAACTTGAATCCATATTAAGAGATTTTCAATAAAGTATTTATAGTTATAGCTAAAAAATAAAAATTAATTATAGCCAAATAAACTGCTGCTATAAATCTATTCTATGAAAAATAATAATTATGCTTGTTTGCTATATTGTAAAATTATGAAATAGCATAATCTTTCATAACTAGCTTTCAACATTTCAATAGTTGCTTGTGATACGTTAAGTGAATCAGTCGACTTTATAATAAGATTGTTCCTCTCTTCTTATGACTGAGAGTAAGGTATAAGATGCTGTATATCAGGGGTGTCAAACTGGATGCCCATGGACTGGATGCGTCATGTGCAGGCCACACCTACCCTAGCTCCAAAAAGGCAAAAAATATTGCAATACATCACGTGATGCGATCGAGTTTGACACCCATGCAGTATATCATTAACACTAACTGAAATGCATAGAAATTGTTATTTGTTGAGAAAAAACACCAAGAAGCCAAGGCAGCAATTCATGACATGAGGAAAATTCCCATAGTTAATGCATTTTGTCTTTTATACTGCCCTTGTAAATTTAAATAACTATCTTGGCATCATGTCCAGCTTAGTAAAGTGTACTTGGCATCTTGAATTGGATGGATTTTTGAAGTTTCAAATAATTATGTAAATTTTGACAAATGGTAAGAAATCTTAGGAAGATGAAATACAAGGGTAGATGAAAAAAGACTCAACTGCATCGTCTGTAATTTGAGATTTTCTCTGTATTAAGTCATATTAGACGTGCTTTGAATTTTCTCTCCAGATTTCATTGATCGGAAAATGTTTGAAGAACCTTATATATGAACATTATTAGTTTTGATAGTTTTAATATATCTGTACTCTGGTAGTGACAATAAAAACACCTCTAGCTAAACCTAATACTTGGAAGTTATAATTTGAAGCAAACAACCTAAAATAGATTACCAGCAGATACAAAACAATTGTCCATTTAAATGTAAGCTTTCATTTAGTTGGGGGGGGGAGGGGCGCGGGTAGATCCCTTCAATTGTGCTAATCCCAAAGCAAAAGTATTTTCTAATTTTCATAAGTAAAATTCTATAGTTAGGCGTGGGGTACAATTTTTAAGAAAGTTGTGCTCCTCCCTTCACTAACCTGAATCTTTTCAAATTCAGGTAACAAGCATGTTCATGGAAATGACTTATCAGCGTCTACAGGTACTTGCAATTTCTGATTGCCTACATTCCACATGTAGATAATATACTTAAATTAAGAGGTAGGCAGCATTTTATTTGTATTTATTTTTGTGGTTGAGTAAGTCACTTATGTGTGAGTGTGTAGCAGTGATCTCTTAAAATGCATTGCACCGCAGGAAATTTTTGCATGGAGGTTTTGGAATTCCAAACATTCTAATTTCTTTAAAATGACATAGTTTGAAATGTTAGTACCATGAAGTAATTAGTACATGTTATTGGTATTGATTCTTGCAGTTATTTAAGCTATCTCAGTTCTATCTTTGCTACGATTCTGCTTGTATATATATTGGAAATTGTATTAGATGTACCTTCAATAAAAATCCAGACAGATATTGTTTTGGTTTTACTTCAGACTATCCACCAGAAGCAACCGATTTCTATATGTTTAAGAAAGGTTTAGAACCTCAACTGAAAATACACCCTTTCCATAAGAACTATACTTTAATAAAACTGCTTTAGAAACAGTAACTGTGTATTCATACTTTAAAACTCTGCACATTGTAATGATAATAGCATCTAGGACAAGTATACCTGAATTTTACAAATGGAGAAGGAGACTGACTGATTTTGACAGTTTGATTTCATTCATGTAGAATTAATATAGAAATTAGCAAAACAAAAACAAAAAACCAACAACCCCAGCAACAACATCATTTTGGCTTCTGCCGTTAATGATATGTTAGCTACATCAATATTGATGGATTAGGAGTGAAGTCCTGATGCTTTGCCTACCACCCGTAATAACTGTTATCTACAATGATTTTCCACTTATTTTATCTTAATCCAATTTAGCATTAAAATATGAAATTGCTGTGCATTTTAAGGCCACAGAACTCTGCGAGGAGGCTTTCAGTGGCTTGGAACAAGAGGAAAATTTAGGGAGATTATTTCATATCATTTCATAAATGGGATTTTTGTATGCTTTACTACTTTCTGTATTACTGCTACATAGATCTATATTATTTAGAGAGGTGATTAGCATAAGAATGCCACTAAGTACATTTTTAGCCTTATGTTATAATGCTATGATGATAACTTTAAGTTACTTTAAGTAAAATGTTAAGATATCAAGGTATGCTTTGTATCTTAACATTTCCTTACAACTAATAATAGCATTTAGGTTTATATACTGCCCCAATATTGCACTCTCTGGGCAGTTTACAATGTACCATATTTTTCGGAGTATAAGACGCACCTTTTTTCCCCTTAAAGGGGGTGAAAATTTAGGTGTGTTTTATACACCAAATGTAGCCCCGCCCACCACTGGCCCCCACCCTTTGGCCTCTACCTCCCAGCAATTTACCTCCTTGCAGCAAGAAGAAACAGCTCATTTCAGCTTCAGCACAGCCTAATTAGAACAAGTTGATTGGATCGGCCTCCCAGCTCTCAGCTGTTTTGCTCTCAGCTGTTTTGCCCGGGCCTCTGCTGCTTGCTGCAAGGAGGTAAATTGCTGGGAGCAGATTTTTTTTTTCTTGTGCTAATCAAGCTATGCTGAAAACGAAAATGTAAAGCAGGCTATTTGCTGTTTGCTGCAACAAGGCAAAACTAAATACTAAGATAAGCATTATTTGCATATAGCCCCAAACAATCTGGGTTCTCATTTTACCAACCTCCCAAGGACGGAAGGCTGAGTCAGTCTTGAGCACTATCAAGACTGAACTCCAGACCGTGGGTAGTTTGCCTGCAATACTGCAGTTTAACGACTGAGCCACTAGGGATCTATCTATCATATTTGGATGGGCACTTTAACTTAGCTGATTTTTAGTTTTCCCAATTTGCATATAATTTAAACTTTCATTTTTTCAGTGGTATGCAAGTGATCAAAAAAAGCCCCCTACTTTAGGCTCAATTAGAAAGTTATCTGATCTCCTTGACGTCACAGCAGGGGGGTATTTTCCCTTTCAGCAGTAATACTACTATATTCTAGTTTAAAGGCTACGGATATCAGCATATATTAAATCGAACTCTTCACTTAGCAATGGTAATTGGAACTGGCAACTCTGTTGCCAAGTGATGCATAAAGCACATCACATAACTATGCCCACTTACAACAACTGTTATGGCAGTCGCAGTTGCTGCTGTAACTATACAAGACTATGAATCCTGCATTAGCACAGCATCTCAAGACCCTGTGATTGGCATTTACAACCTCCTGCCTCCTTCCCCACAGGCTTTGCTTGTCAGATACAGGCAGTGAAGGTTGCAGATAGTGATCACATGATTGCAGGACACAGTCACTGCAGTGTCATAATTGTGATCTTGTTGCCAAGTACCGAGCGTGTGATCACTTTACAAGAATGCTGTGACCACCCAACTATAGCCACCCTAAGTCATCTTTGTTCAGGCTCTTGTACTTTTCAGCAATCACTGAACGAATGATCATTTATCAAGGACTACCAGTATCCATTAAAATATCCAGGGGTTGGATTCAGCCGGTTTGGACTGGTTCAGGCGAACCGGTAGTTCCAACGATCAGATGGCCTCACCCACCCGCCCCTGCCCTATCCTGTCCTATATTTCCTTCTTTCTGGCTCAGCTGATTCAGGTGGCACAGGTGACTTCTTCGCTCACCGAATCAGTTGTTAAACCAGTTCCAGCCCATCATTGGTAGTTAACTTAAAAGCCAAAATATGTCAACAAATAAATCACTATTGTTAACCAAACTCATGAGACTTCTCTCTAAGTTTAAATTAGCATTGTTGATATTTATTTATTTATTTATTTATTTATTTATTTATTTATTTATTTATTTATTTATTTATAATTAAATTTATATACCGCCCTACTCCCGAAGGACTCAGGGCGGTGAACAGCCAAAAAATAAAATGTACATAATACAAACATTAAAAACCATTTAAAATACATTAAATACTTCGACCAGATTTAAAACACCCCAATTATAAAACCAATTTAAAAGCAATTAAAAAGGGAGGTTAGGCCAGACCAGCCTGCTGGAATAAAAATGTTTTGAGGGTGCGGCGGAAAGTGCGCAGATCCGGGATCCTCCGTATCTCCGGGGGGAGCTCATTCCAGATGGTAGGTGGCCCCCAGAGAAGGCTCTCCCCCTGGGGGCCGCCAGTCGACATTGTTTGACCGACGGCACTCTGAGAAGACCCTCTCTATGGGAGCATACTGGTCAGTGAGAGGCTATTGGTGGCAGAAGGCGGTCTCGTAGGTACCCAGGTCCTGAGCCATGGAGCACTCTAAAAGTGGTAACCAGAACCTTGAAGCGCACCCGAAAGACCACCGGGAGCCAGTGCAGCTCGCGCAGGAGGGGAGTCACATGGGAGCGCTACGTCGCTCCCATAACCACCTGCGTGGCCGCATTCTGGACCAGTTGGAGCCTCCGGGTGCTCCTCAAGGGGAGCCCCATGTAGAGACCATTACAGTAGTCAAAGTGGGAAGTGACAAGGGCATGAGTGACCGTGCGTAACGAGTCCCGATCCAGAAAGGGACGCAACTGGCGGATCAGGCGAACCTGATAAAAAGTCCTCCCGGCCACAGCCATCAAATGCTCTTCTAAAGACAGCCGTGAGTCCAGGAGGACACCCAAGTTGCGAGCCCTCTCTGTGGGGGCCAACGACTCGCCCTCAAAGTTAGTGATGGCACCAACTGACTATATCGGGATGTCGGAAACCACAGCCACTCGGTCTTGGATGGGTTGAGCCTGAGTCTGTTTCTCCCCATCCAGATCCGTACAGCCTCCAGGCACCGGGACATCACTTCAAGGGCATCATTGGGGTGATCCGGGGTGGAGATCCTGAGTGTCATCAGCGTACTGATGGTACTTCACCCCGAAACCACAGATGATCTCACCCAGCGACTTCACATAAATGTTGAACAGAAGGAGTGAGAGGACAGACCACCCCACATACAAGGGGCCTTGGGGTCGCCTCTGCCCCCCTGTCAACACAGACTGCGACCGGTCAGAGAGAAAGGAGGAGAACCACCGCAACATGGTGCCCCCCACCCCTAACTCTTCCAACTGGTGCAGCATGATACCATGATCGATGGTATCAGAAGCCGCTGAGGTCTAATAGGACCAGGGCAGAGGACCAACCCCTGTCCTGAGCCTTCCAGAGATCATCGACCAATGCGACCAATGCCATATCTGTGCTGTACCCAGGCCCGAAGCCCGACTGGAATGGATCTAGATAAGCTGATTCATCCAGGTACTGAGGGAGCTGTCGCGCTACCACACTCTCAACAACCTTCGCAACAAAGCGAAAGTTGGAGACCTGACAATAATTAGCCAACACTGGCGGGTCCAGGGAAGGCTTCTTGAGGAGAGGCCTCACCACCGCCTCCTTCAAGGCGGCAGGGAAGAGACCCTTACACCCTCACATAGAAGATGTCACTCAAGGAAGAACAAAAATTCATCTTTAATTTCAAAAACATGTCTTTCTTTTGATAGCCATCGAGCCATGAAGTATAAAGAGATACTCATATACATTTCTCTTTTTTGCCTGAGATGATGATGATAACAACAATAATAATATAATTTGAAGTATAAATTATAGAATGTATACACTTCAATACAGTCTTGAACAGTCTAGCACTACTGCACACATTCTACAAAGTAAGCCCAGTATAATACTCTGCCATTGCTCACATCCCACAACTGCTTGCTCCAAGACATCTTTCCAGTCAATATTGCTTTGAATAATAAAATCACTGATGTCCCAAAATGTCCTCAGATGTTTTTTGAATAAAGCCTTTGAAACCATATCTAATAAATTAACTTTTTGCCAATAGGAAATAGATCAGTTGTCTTGGCTATTGGTTGGAAAGTTCATATGTAACCAAAATATTTTTTTATTAGAAGAATACATTAGTAAGTGTAATTATTTAAAAGTAGAAAATAATTCTTCAATAGCTGTTAGTGAATCATACCTAAAGGTACTTGATTTTTTTTAGGGAAGCATCCTATTAGTTCACTTCAAAAGATGCACAGGTAGTTCTCATTATCCATAGTTTCTTTTATCAGTTGTTTCGGATTGAGGGGGTAGGATTGTTAGTTCATGTACAAATTGACAGTCAGCTTTTTGTGTATCCATAAAGTTAATTCTTTTCAGGTTTAAGTAGCCTGATTACTAGTTGGAAATTTTCAAAGCAATGGTTACTTTACTCTCTTATGAACAGAATATTGGCAACTTTGCAGCTCTTCAGAGTAGAAAGAACATGAGTATCTGTATATTTCCTAAGAAGTAGCATTTTTTTTTCACAAGAACTGGTACTGGGTCAAAGATCACATTTTGGAAATACTGGTTTATAGGTCAGTTTTCTGTGCATTCTGACAACCGCAGTTTCTATAGCTTGCATTGTTAGAAATGACTTTAGAAAGGTGTATGAATTTGGAATTAATTCGGAATTAATTCTGACCTTCAGATAACATACAAATATATATATATAATTGAACTACAACTAATTTATCAATTCTTTTCATGTATTCACTTTCCCATGATTGTGTCTACATCAATGTTGTGTGCACAAGGGCATTTAAATATTCATCAGTTTCTTTTCATTTTGTGCAGAAGGCAGAAGAATCAGGCAATTGAAAACAAGGCATGTCTAATTGGAAACAGAAACATTGGCCCAACTATATAAAAGCGGTACATGGCACTGTTTAAATTCTTACTGTGCAACATATGAAAGCATAATATCAAAGATTTAATTAATCATCTTAGCAATGAAGTAACAGTGTTACCATCTAACACTGTTGGATTGGGTTGTGATTTTTTCTCAGAAAGTTTGCCATACACTAACTACAGAAGCATATTGAATGTAAATGTTACAGTATAGCTTAGTTTTAATTTATTATACTTGTCATAAAGTTTAAGAAAATGTAATTCAAAAGTGCTTAGAAGATTACATTTTCAAAGTGTGTACTTTCTCACTCTGAACAATATTCAAACTTATTTTATTAGATTAGTTCAGAAGTGGTATTCAGCAGGTTCTGACCAGTTCTGGAGAACTGGTAGCGGAAAGTTTGAGTAGTTCGGAGAACCAATAAATATCACCTCTGACTGGCCCCGCCCCCATCTATTCTCTGTCTCCCGAGTCCCAGCTCATCGGGAGGAAATGGGGATTTTGCAGTATTCTTCCCCGGAGTGGGGAGGGAATGGGGATTTTGCAGTATCCTTCCCCTGCCATGTCCACCAAGCCATGCCACGCCCACCAAGCCATACCCACAGAATCAGTAGTAAAAAATTTTGAATCCCACCACTGGATTAGTTATATGATGGTTTCTTAGTTTTACAATGCACAGGTAGACCCTTGGGAATACTAGCTCTTGCTTTTTATTTGATTATTAGTTCATTTGTTGTGTGCACAGGCAAAGAGGAAAATGATATATGTATATTAAGACTCCATGGTAAATGTTATTTTTATTTCATTGCTTTTTTAAACAGAAGCTGCTATCCTAGTCATCTTATGTACTATGCTATGCTGGTTTTGAATGTGTTGCTTTTGTTGTAAACAATCATGTTTATAAACTGCCAATAGTGGAGTTTATCAGTTGAGATTTTTCTGTGCAGTGGTAACCAACTAGTATTATGAATTGAGGAGCATAAAGTGTTTCATTCTGGATTCACACAAGCTAAATGAATTCATCTAGTAACTTTCTTACTTGATTAATAGTTATCTGAACTTTGAAAATGTCCGTATGAACGGACTTTCATTAGATAGGTAAAGAATGTTTTATTAAATGCATAGATAATTACAATAATGTACTTTATTGTTAGTGACCCAGCAAAGTGAGATTCTGCTATATGTATGAACAACTTCAATGAAATACTGTAAAATCTTGAATTAACAGACTAGAGGAAAGGATGTCTGTTAAATCCAAAGAGCCATTAAATTGAAATTTATCTCAATGACGTTATGAAGGCTATTATGTAATGGACATACTTATGCCATTGACACAAGTGATGTAAAAATGTCAATTCTGTGAAAGGACGTAAATGAATAAATGGACTTTATGGAAGCACAGATAATTATATTGCCAGAATTGGTTTCAAACTTTCTAAGAACAAAAACTTTAGAATTTGGCTTGATATAGCCAACTGAGGAATTCTGGGAATTGAAGTCCACAAGTCTTAAACTTGCCAAGTTTGGAGACCCCTGATGTATATATTCTTAAGAACTGCAAAGTGCTTTGTAATTAATGGATAGAATATCTTCCCAGTATCTTCTCAGGGACATAAAATAAATGTACTAGCCATTCCCTAGGCTTTCTGATCCATTATTGAATATGAAATTTGGCATTTGTTCACCAAACTTGGCAATCTTTTCATACCGTATAAATTTGGGGTCTGATAAATTAAAAACATATAACAAATGGAAACAAGATGAAAAATGAGCCTTCTCCAACTTGCTGTCTTCCAAATACATTGAACTGGAATTCCACAATTCTAACTAGTATGGAAATTATGTTTGCAATTTGAGAAAAGGGGTGTTCAATCCCAAATATATGGAACTGCTCTTTATATCATAGGCAATTATTCTACATAGGTTTGTCTTGGCTATCAGCTTGGTGGTGATAAGATTTTTTAGAAAGTTACGAACTAGATAGTAGTGGCTGCTTAACTACTTCATATAAGCATGTGTGGTGGACTGTGCTTTTCTCCTGAATAATACTTACATTGATCAATGACTGAAATAAATATTTGACTTAATGAGCAATAAAGTATGCATTAGGAGAGACGGTTGTTGCTTAAAAATGAAGAAAACTGAAAGAGAAATGTCTCTGTGTGTGGCATTTCAAAAGATGACATTATTTATATATACTTCCTTAGTGTTAGATTATTGAAGCCACTATTTTTATGGTCCAATTTCAAGTTACAACTACAAGTAATTGAAAAAAATGTCATAACTCATGACAATGTCACACTGTTACTAAAGCAATTGAAATTGGAATAGACAGTTACCTACCTTAATAAAATACACTCAAGTTAATTAACAAGGTTTATGTTATAATTTCTCATAATTTAATTAATTTTTACTATAGAATTTGGTTAATGTCATGTATATTAATATGGCCTTTATTTCTGAAAAATAGAAGTAATTAATTTATATCTAATTTACAGTTTATATACTGAATCCTACACAGTGATTGCACAGAGACACATACTTACATGTATATATAATTATGTGCTTGTTTCTTTTCATGTATTTTTCTAGACCGCTCTGGCACATCTAGAGTCTCTTGCAATTGATGTTGAGCAGGCTCATCCACCAGCTAGTAAAGAGAGCATAGATTGTCTGCCCCAAATTATTATTACAGAAGATCACAACGGTAAGGATAAATTCCATGCCCACTGTTTTGGTCAAGTAACTTTATATGATCTAATAATATGATATGTTATTATCTTTTGCAACTTAATTTGGTCGAATGTGACTATTTTCAAAACTATTTTAATTTATTAATATAACTATTTCACCATAATTTTTAATAACCTAGTTTTACATTTGTATACTAATATGCACATTGTTTTCCTAAGCTGTAGGGCAAGAGCAGTGTTGTGCTATTTGCTGTAGTGAGTACATCAAAGAAGAAATTGTAACAGAGCTTCCATGTCGCCACTTCTTTCACGTGACATGCATAACACTTTGGTTACAAAAGGTGTGTAATTATGTTATACTCTCATGCTGCTTTAAAACTAGTTTTTTTTAAAAAAAAAAGTCTATATCTCTATCATTGTCTATCTTCTCTCGCTCTCTCGCTCTCTTTGTCTCTGTCTCTGTCTATATCTATCTATTTTCTGTGGCCACCCACCTATCACAAGAAACTTTTGGCCAGCAATAATAAAAAATGCAGAACAAAAATATTTTATACAAACAACAATAATGTTGAGACTCTGATAAAACTTGTATTCATCAATCAAGCGTAGTAAGCTGATCCCATCCATATCCTGGTCCCAGTACCTTGGCAAAAGCCAGATCTTTTTGAAGAACTGTTTTCTGGAAGGCCAACAGGGTTGGAGCCATCCATATCTCTAAGGTGGGCTGTTCCATAAGATAGGCACTATGACAGACAAGACATGCTTTCAAGGTTCCACAGGTGACCATTTCATAAGGGAATTTGTTGCATTCCTACCCCATCTAATTAGGAATTACGTTCAGAAGATTACCGGAAGCCAGTGCAGTTCATCAAGGGATGGTGTTACCTGAGCTTACTATGATATGATCACTACTGCCCAAACAACTGCATTTTGGAGCATCTGTATCTTCTAAATGCTTTCAAGGACATCGCCACATGCAGCATTTGCAGTAGTCCAGTTGACTAAGGCATGAGTGACCTTGAGCAAGGTCTCCTGATCTAGGAAAGGACACAACTGATACATGTATTTGAGCAAAGGCTCTCCTAGCCACAATTAAGCCCAGGAGAATCTTCAGATTGTGCACCATCTCCGACTACTGGTGGAGTGTAATTGTAATTCCAGGCAAAGTTTAAGATGGCAAATCACTAGGTAGGGGGAGAGGGGGCAAAACACACAGCCATTGAGTCTTGTTAGGGTTGATCTGAATCCAGATTATCTCTTTTAGATCTGTATACCAGGCGCTAAGAAATGCCCATTGATTTTGCTGTTTAAGATCAGTGACTTACTTTAGTTCAGTCTTGGTTGGAAACACACCAACAGTAGCACTGTATATTGATGTGCATAATGATGATTAGCTGTATTAGTATGATATCTCACAAGGTTGCCATTGTGGGTAAAAAAAGGAGCAGAAAGGTGTGTTAGAAATATTTGCTGCCTTGAGTTATTTGTAAAAGTAGTAAAGCAGGATACAAATAAATAAAATTTTAAAAAAAATAAATTTAATGTTTTCTAGGCTTGGGCAAAGCATTTGAAATGATGCTTTGCAAAATGAGTTATATGATCAAAGCAGTATCCTTGAAGAGTTAAATTATTTCTCAAAGGTTTAGATTCCATGCTATGGATCACTATGAAAGAGACCGGAAATATAATTTCCACTAAGTACCAGGCAATTAAATACATCTTCATATGTCCTAATAAGCGAGGTGAATACTGTTAAGAACACTCACACTACCTAGTTAACAGTTTCAAATTGATAGTTACCCAATGTAGAGAATTTACAGTCCCTTCCAGATCTCACAGCACTTCTGATGTGTGTATGTGTGTGTAAAAAGCTAGGGGGAAATGAATTAGGTGTCACATTGAGATTGCCATTTGATCAGAAAATATCTCAATTTAATTTAAATATATTTGCCTGCTTCCTAGGATAATATATGATCTATTTTAAAAACATGAATCTTATGTAATGTCTAATACTAAACACCTTATTAAAATACCTAACGATATCATGTAACATTGAAAGCAAAAGGAGAAGGGGATGGCAGAAGATGAGACGGTTAGTGTCATTGATGCAATGAGCATGAATTTGTGCAAACTCCAGAAGACAATGGAGGACAGGGGAGTCTGGCATATTCCATGGGGTCACGAAGAGTCGGTCATGGCTTCGTGATTGAACAACCATCTCTCATGAACATATTCTCTTGTGTGTAATTAAAATTAATACCTTTATCAAAAATAATATTTATTTATACCATAGAAACCACTATGAAGCTGACATGAGCCTTTTAAAGGAGGCAACATAAAGATGAATCTCGGTCTTTTTAGCTTTTTTTTTTTTTCTTTCTTTCTTTAATTTGCAGTCCTTCCCTAAATATATTTGAGGCTGTACATTTGGCTACTCTTGAATTCCTGACCCGAATTGTACTTACACGGTGGTGTTTTCTCTTGCCTAGTCTGGAACATGTCCTGTGTGCCGCCATGTGCTTCCTCCTGGGCTCTCAGAGTCATCCGCTCCCATATTCACCTTCTTGCCCGATCAGGATTCTACTCCTTCAGTCCAGAGTGCCTCGGGAACACAATAAAGGAATACCTGAACAAGAATTTAGCCCATCACATTGTACTGTAAAGTTCTTTTATTTAATGATAACATGAAATTGGTTTTGTATGTGCGCCTGTGTATGTGGCATACTGTACACACATACACAAAAACATGTAGAAATTCCAACACACACATTTTGCAAGAATATACAGCTTACGAAATGGTTTAGAATTAAAGTAAGAATAACAGACTGAAAAACAAAAAGGTTGCACTAGTTTTCTGCGATAAACCTATTGCTCTTAACTAATGTCTAATGGTAATTATTCAGTTTGTCTTGAAAAATGATCATTAATGTGGCACTTATATTCAAAGTAATGCAGCTGCAGTGCAGTTGGAGCTTACACAAGTTATGCATATGATATGTTTTACATAATATAATTTTAGAGGCTGGGGTTATTTCTTTTAAAATAGTGCCACTTAATTACTTTGTATATAACTCTTTCATATTTGCATCAAATGTGAAGATGTTCTGTGATAACATCAGTAGCATACTTTGGTTTCACTGAAAATAAACAGCATATAATCAAAGAATTACCCTGTGATTTCATCATGACCTCTGTGTGCATGAGAGCTTTTGTGACTAGTAAAAATAGGTTTAATTTGGATTATTTTACACAGTTCAAAATCTGCACTTTCACATTCCCGTTATAAGAATTGAGGAAAAAGCAATAGAATTATAGAAGGATTATAGAGCTAAATGACTTGATATTAGAAGAATCAGCAACAGCCTTTCATTGGAGCGACAGGAGTTGAAATCAGGATAGGCACATTTTCATAAGTACAAGTATTGCAAAGCTGTAATATCCATATAATACTGATACACAATGGAAATCAGGTGAGCTGTTATTAGAACACCAAAATAGCCTTGCATTGCATTTTCTTAATGTATTTAGTCTCTGCCTCCTTATAATATTGTTTTGAGTGAAACTGCAGTTCATTTCAGTAAAATACTGAAATAACCTATTAACTGTATTCACTACTATATATTACGGAGAGATTAATCAAAACAAAAGTTTTTGAGTGTTAGAAATTAGTTTCTTAATAATTAAATAGAGATATAGCATACATTAAATGGAGATAGGGTATAGGTTATTTTATTGTACAGTGCCATAAGATATGCTTTCAAAGGTCCTACGCAGGTCTTTTTCAATTAATTTAATATTAGCTGGATTGAGCCTTTATAGAAAAAGAGTCTATTTAATGACTACATTTTTTTCTTCTTCACTGTATTTAGAATCTATTTTCCATTTTTTTCCAGGAAAAATACATTTTGCAATAAAACAAGCACAGTGAAGGATTATGGGGGTGGAAATCAGTGAGGGAATAATCCAGTGTTTTACCCACAAGGCTATCAGCTAACAATTTCTAGGGTAGAAGAGAAAAACAGTTGGGCTCTGTTTCAAAATGGAATAGACTAATTATTATTAAGACTTCCAGAGCATTATTGCACTCCCATTCTTGCATTGCTGAAGAGACAACCTTACAATTTTTTCAGGACTAAAGGAAAAGGAAATTATGTTCTCAGTTGCCTAGTTACAAGATGTTTTCTTTCATCTTTTCTAAAAAGACCAGGTAAAAATTCATAGACTATTTGGTGCAGAAAAACAAACTTTAGCATAGTGGACATTAAGATGAATTCCGTTTTTAGCCACAGAAGGCTAAGTTCCCCTGGCTTCTTGGTGACATAAATCTATGATGACAAACATTGGGCATTTTCTATTCTCAGCAATATAAAAGATGCTTCGTGAAAATTAAATTTCATAGACTTCCCAAATAAACAGGCATTCTGCAATTAAACTGTATTGCAACTGTGTGACTTTTTGTACAAGTATATAAACTAGGGATATGATTAAAATATATGATCATACAGCTCACATATCTTCCGTATTGAAGAAATAAAGCTGCAGAGAACTACATTCTGCTCTTTCTATCTTCATTAGGATACCCTCACAAGTCTAAGTGCTATTGCTATTACTAAGCAGGCTTACGTGCTTTATTGCTTTAACATCTTACAGATTCCAATGTTTAAAGAAGTACCTTTAAACAATATTATGACAATGGTTAATTAAGTTGTAATTACCTGTAAACTGACGAGTAAGCATACAGCAGATTCCATGTTGTAATGTTTCTTTCAATTTGAGGACGTAAAGTCTGTAAGTTGAACTCGAAAGAAGCAAAAAACAGCTTTCTTTAAACTTCATAGGAGATAAATACAAAGACTGATCCTAGCACCTGTGACGAGCTATTAATCTTATGGAAAACTCAGTAAACAGAGTACACAAGTTACTGTGTCATTTATGTTAATTTTCCACCCTGCATTTTTGCATCTGAACATCCATTCAACCAGTACTGTATCTATAGAAACAGAAACAGAATCTTAGGTAATGATTGCCATGAGAATATGGGAACAAATTTTATATTCTTGTCTGGTCATACAAACAGGGAGATATATATATATATATTTCTGCCTTTTAAGATACCTTTACAGGGAGGATATCTGAGAAGTGGGTGTGGCTCACCGATGACGCCTTAAAAGGCAGAAATAGCTATCTGAGTCTCCCAGAGAGCAACACAGAGTTGCAGTTTGTCAGCAGAAAAAAGGCCCAGAAACTTGTGAATGAGATTTCACAGAACCAGGGCTGTAGAACAACTTAGTTTACGTAGGTAAAACCTGGCTACACTGTATACACACACCCTGTTTTCCCCCAAATAAGACATCCCCTGATAATAAGCCCAATCGGGCTTTTGAGTGCACGGCAATAAGGCCAAGCGCTTATTTCAGGGTTCAAAAAAATATAAGACAGGGTCTTTTTTTCGCGAAAACATGGTATATGCAATGTAACCGAAGTAAATAAAGTCAATAGTGTTAGAAAGCAAAAAAGCAGGGTTAGTAGCCATAAATTTTGGGTTCCTCTTGTCCATCCGGAGATTTCATCTCAATAAAATGGCTGCAACTCTCAGCCAATCCTAACCATTTACAACCAGAAGCTACTGTACATAGAGAAGAAAAGTTTGTAATTCTCTCCATTGATAGAAGAAAGGTTCTGTACTATCAAGATTTCAACCATTTGAATTGGGGTGCTGAAAGTTCTGTTGAAAAATAATGCATCTACTAGATGTTGAGTGCTCAGGGAAATAGCTTTTAGCAGGCAAATAATGAGTCCACCAATCCAAGAGCTGATTTGGACCAATAGGAACTATTCACTATTTCTAAATCTAAATTATTTGGGCTTGTGTGGCTCTAGTATTAGATTAGCTTTTTCTTGTTTTGTCCTAATGCTACCATCAGTTTTATTTCCTAGAAAACTTACTTTCTGGATAATAGCCTTTTGGATGATGTCTATATAAACTTAACATGTTGCCTTTTATAAATATTGAAGTAAGTCCCAAATACTGCAAGCAGCATTTTCCTCTACAGAAATCCTTTGGCATGCTGCTTCAGCCGTAGGTAAACTGCCTTTCCTCTGTTGTCTCTAAAACTTTGACCCCCTTTCATTAGAAATCAATTTTTTCTTGGCCTGTAAAACTCTCGTTCACAGCTTTAATATTTCACTAGAGTGTCATTTCATCCAAATTTGAATTTGAGAATTTTCTTTTAGCCTTTTCTGTCCTTAGGATTAGAAATATTAAGTAGGACACCTACAGTGGGTAGAGTTGATTATATTGTGGGTGTATTTCTATTGTTACCAGATGTATAGCCCACCTTTCCGTTACAAGCTAAAAATGACATGTATAAGCATTCTGCAAACTTGCAAAACATGTTAGGCTAAGGGAGATGGTGGGCCCAAGGTCACCTATTGGGCCTTCATAGCTAAGGTTGGACTTGATTAGACCAATTTAACCAGGATGCCACATGGGTTTTATTGTTTGAACAGGTGCCTCAGATTTTGTGTAGGCTAAAGGCCCAATAGAGACCTTTTAAATCAGAGGTCTTCAAACTTGGCCGCTTTAAGACTTGTGGGCTTCAATTCCCAGCATAGCTGGCTGGAGAATTCTGGGAGTTGAAGTCCACAAGTCTTAAAGCGGCCAAGTTTGGGGACCCATGTTTTAAATGATAGCTTTCCTCAAATTAAGATAAAGAACAACTGAGCACAACAGATACCATGTGCTCCTGCAAGATGATACCAGTTTCACCCTTTCAATCCTAGTACACGCCTCCATTCTAGTTACATCAATCTTTAGCTACAATCCCTTTAAGCTCTTAGAAGGATATAAGCCTCTTGGAATTACTTCCCTAGCTTTAAAAAGTTGCACAACCTTGTGCTATGATGTGAGCATGTAAACTAAATTAACTTTCTCTGTAAAATTGAACTCCTTTCTCCATGCTTTCTGGTTGTGTGTAAAAAATAAATAAATAAATTGTTTGTTTGAATATTAATATTTCTCTGACTTAATTCTTCCTATTGCTTGTTAATGTAGAAAGTGAATCTGAAATAGTTTCCCTTAATATTTCTATTCCCAAAGTGCAAAATTAACAGAGTACAAATTAGCTGTGGTTTACATTGCACTGCATTTCAAAGATTCATCTCTTTGGCTTATAAATATATAAATATACACGTCCATGTCGGGTGGGTTCTACTTACCTTTACTACCGGTTCGCAACAGGATCGCACGTGCGCATGCACAGATGGCTGATGATGACATCCGGGCGGTGGGCGGGGCCTCCTGCCGGTTTTACTACTGGTTCTTGCGAACCAGTCTGAGCCAGGGGCAACCCACCACTGGTCCATGTGCACAGGAATCTTTAGCAACAGCAGCAGACTAGTGCATGGGAACAGCTAGAAAAGGAGATGAAGCTCCTCCTTTTCACTTCACATTAGGATCCAAGCCATCAGCTCTACAAGACAATGTCTATCACTTCAGAAGGTAACAAGCCCTCCACATAAAATGTGGCTTCTTCAGTTCCATTCTAGCCCTGTAAAAGTATCCCAGAATGTATATAATGAAACCATACAGGTAGGATTCCTGGCTACAGATTCCATTAGATCCTATAAAATACACATTTACAATCTCTGTTGAAAGTAGATTCATTCTTATTATAACTCTGATGCTGCAGAAACTAGGTCAATAAGAAAAATTGAGCAAGACTTCAATCCTGTTCCAAGATAATTTCACTGCATCCTGTCAGTCCTTAATTCAAGATCTGTGAACACATCTAAGCTCCAGCTTGAAGGCTTCTAGTTAAGCATCTACATGAGTGACAGGTCCCATTACAACATTAGCTAGGATCACCATGGTAATAACTTTGCAATAACTTTGCAAGATAGCTACAAAATTTAAAATGATACTGACGTATAAAATTCAAAATGATATTGACATACAAAATAGGCTAGAAGTAGCAGAATGAAATTTAGCAGAGATAAGTGCAAACTCACTTAAGAAATAAAAAATGCTACATATATATATATATATACTGTGCAAAAATTAAGAATGCTTTCAAAAATAAAAGTGTTAGTAGTTTATTTTTATCAATTAACAAAATGGAAAGTAAACGAACAGAAGAGAAATCCAAATCAAATCAATATTTAGTGTGACCACCCTGTGCCTTCTAAACTGTATCAATTCTTCTAAGTATACTTGCACACAATTTTTGAAGGAACTTGGCAAGGTTGTTCCAAACATCTTGGAGAACTAACCACAGATCATCTGTGGATGTAGGCTGACTCAAATCCTTTTGTCCCTTCATGTAATTCCAAACAGACTTGATGATGTTGAAATCAGGGATCTGTGGGGACCAAACCATCACTCCCAGGACTTCTTGTCCTTCTTTACACTGAAGATAGTTCTTAATGTCATTGGCTGTGTGTTTGGGGGCAATCTAGTAGTGGGTTGCTACCGGTTCGCCCCAATTTGGGTGAACCGGTAGCGGCGGGGGCAGGAGGCTCCACCCACCTGCCCAGACATCATCAAAAATGCTCTGCACATGTGCAGACGCTTCTGCGCATGTGTAGAAGCGCTGTGTGCGCCTAATAACGAACCAGTAGCGAAGAAAATTGAAACCCACTACTAGGGCAATCACACACCTCCCCAGTGGTATGGCACAATGATAAGTATCTGCCTATGTTTCTCAGCATTGAGGACACCATTAATCTTGACCAAATCTCCAACTCCATTTGCAGAAATGCTGCCCCAAACTTGCAAGGAACCTCCACCATGCTTTGCCATTGCCTTATTATTCTATTGCTGTCCAGCCATTCAGCAAACAAACTGCCTCTTGTTAACAGCCAAATATTTTAAATTTTGACTCATCAATCCAGAGCACCTGCTACCATTTTTCTGCACCTCCGTTCCTATGTTTTCATGCATAGTTAAGTCACTTAGCTTTGTTTCCACATTGGAAGTGTGGCTTTTTGGCTGCAATTATTCCATGAAGTCTACTTCTGGTCAGTCCTTCTCCAGATAGTAGATGGGTGTACCTGATTGTGGCCAGTTTTGTACTGATAGCACTACCGGACATCTTCATGAGATGTCTTTCATCTGCTGCATTACATTTCTTTGGCCAACCACTGTGTCTATGGCAGGGGTGTCAAACTTGCGTCATCACATGATGTATCATGCCTTTTTTTCCCCTTCACTAAACTGGGCATGGGAGTGGCCAGTGAGTGACGCATCCGGCCCATGGGCCGTGAGTTTGACAGCCCTGGTCTACGGTCCTCAACATTGCCTGTTATTTTGTGCTTCTTCAAAAGAGCTTGAACAGCACATCTTGAAACCCTTATGCTTTGAAATCTTTGCCTGGGAGAAACCAAAATTACTTTTGTCTTGTTCCTCTGCTCAGTTTTGCCAGGATGTATGACCTGTATTTCACCTTAGTAGCAGAGTTTGACTGTTCCTCGCCCAGTTTTAAGCCTCCTACACAGCTGTTTCTGTTTCAGTTAATGATTGTGTTTCAACTCTCATATGAAATTGATGATTATTAGCACCTGCTTGGTATAATTGGTTAATTGTACATCTGTCTCTCCTCCTACAAAACCTGACTTTCTGCAAGTGTAAGAATTGATGCTGTTTTGAAGGCCAAATATTGACTGGATTTGGATTTCTCTTCTGTTCATTTACTTTTCATTTTGTAAAACTGATAAAAAAAATAAACTATTAACAGTTCTATTTCTGAAAGCATTCTTAATTTACAGTATTTTTACACAACTGCCTAACACTTTTGCACAGTACTGTATAGGGTGTAATATTCCTGGTTTGGTTATAGCATTTGTCGAAAAAATAATGGAGTAATAGCTGATTGCAGTTTACATATAAGATCAGAGTGGCGTGGCTACAAAAAAAAGGTAAATGCATTGCTAGGCTGAAGCAACAAGCATACATTTCAACATTTTGGAAAGAATAATTCAATGTTAATTTGTATTTGTCAGATCACACTTCGTATTTTGTTTCCTGGCCTGGCCTACATCCTACTTCAGACAAATTGGAAAAGGTTTGGAGCATTGTATAGCAATAGCACTTAGACTTATATACTGTACCAGTTCACAGTGCTTTTACAGCCTTCTCTAAGTGGTTTACAGAATCAGCATATTGCCCCCAATAATCTGGGTCCTCATTTTACCGACCTTGGAGGGATGGAGGACTGAGTCAACCTTGAGTTGGTGAGACTTGAACTGCCCAACTGCTGGCAGCCGGCAGCCGGCAGTCAGCAGAAGTAGCCTGCAGTACTGCATTCTAACCCCTGTGCCCCCACAGCTCTTTAATAATATAATATATAATATAATAATATAATTGCTTTAACCACCACATCCTACTCCCTTTAAGGTATCACATTAAGGATGACTCTCTTCCCTTCTCACTCCAGGGAAGCCAATCAGTCTGCCATGACCAAAAATAACACTCTGTCTACTTAGAACCATACTTTCCACTGGCCTTTATGAATAGTGGACAGCAACAACAGACAGTAGCTTTGTTTTTCTTTTTACTATAAAGGGATAGTTTCTTCCTACAGCCACAGTTATAGCAGTCTCAACAACAGCATGATTGTAACAAGAGTCAACAGGCTTATTGCTGGGATTACCCCCATCCAGTGACACCAGCTTTGCTTCTTCCAATTTCCATGAGTCTCCTTGGCCTTCAGCAGCAGCAGAAACAATAGCATCCTATCCTTAACAGTTAACAGTGGCCTACACCCCTGCCTTACTCATAGCAAACAGCATTTCAAGTACCCTAATCTACCAATCTGTTGCCCTCTTGGCTAGTCTCAGTTCAGCCCTTCGACCTTCATCAAGTGTAGAGAGGAAGAAAACTTTGATGGGAGTATGCAAGCTCTATTAGCAATAAGGGATGAAGCATATCTTAAATCCACAACAGGCAGATAATATTAGAAGAGACTCAGACAGCCAACTCCCTTATTCACAGATATATAAGTAAGGGGAGGAAGTCCAGCAATCAGACTTGCAATATTCTATTTTTATAGCCAATCTCAATAAAGATAGTTTTACCCTTCCTTTGGAATTGATTTCCTAGCCTGGTCCACCTAGTACGACTGACAGGTGTGTATTAGCTTCCTTTCTTCTCCTCTCCCCTTCCCTCCTCCTGACTTATCCCCCACGCCTTCCTAAAATGCTTCAAAGTACTGCAGATAATAGTGTACTGTCACAAAACTTGAGTTTACATATTTTAAACAATCTTTTTATTGTAAAGATTCCAGAAAGACTATAGTGCAATCTCTTGTCTCTCACTCTCTCTCATATCCATCCAAATGTTTGATCTTCTCAAATTTAAACAATCTAAGGGTTATTTCTTTAATGCCTCAAGATGGCTGCCATTAATCTTGCTCCATTCTATTTCAAACAAATTTCATTTTAAGTTGACCATACAGTGCAATCCAATATGCATCTATCAGGCATTCAGTGTGGATTTACTCCGATGTAAATGAAGAAGATTGCAGCCTTTGTTTTTCAAATAATGAGTTGCAGATTTTCAGAGTTATAAACTTCCAATTGGTTTCATTTTTAAAAATTTCACTTAAAGAGAAAGTTAAAGAGTCAATAATAGAAGTATAGCCAACAGCCTCAGCTTCACACTTTTCACCAACCTTTAGCTGCTGGCTAAAAGAAAACTTATCAAAAGACCATGATTTCCCCATCTGAATTTGTAATTCTGGTTGATAAATTTCCATATTATATATACATTTATCAGAATACATGTTCACTTTTCATGCTATTTCTAAATGGGCATCCATGTTCATCTTTTGATGCAAACATACTTTAGAGTCTTGTGGCGTTGAAAGGCTAATACGTGTATCATATTAGGATCCACCACTGGTTCGTGCTATCAAAAAAACCCCAAATCAAGTGGAAGGTTGCAACTGATACCCCTACATTTTGGTAGATGAATTGATGTCGACAGACACATATAGAACAGTGGGCTTTAGTCATG